CAAAATGACTCACATAATAATATATTTACATTTAATTCATCACTCAAATACTTACTATCAGATTCGTCTTCTTTTCCTTTTTTTTTCTGCAGAAAAACAGAGTTTATTGCTAAGAAGAATGTAATGTATTTTTTATTTATTTTGTTTTAAAAGTCTATACTTATATTTTACCACTGTACATAGTTTTAAGTGTCTTGGCACGGTTTCGAGTGTTTAGTATATAGATTTTTTTACTTTCACGTACGTATATATGTAATATATAGTAAGGGTAAGTATTGCGAACGAGAAAATTTTTGAATCTGAGTTTTCAACGGAAATAGACGTTTTGAGGTACCCTGAGTCGAAAACCAAGTCCCAAAAAATGGTCTGTGTGTTTGTATGTTAGCAGTCTAGCTCAAAAACGAAAAGTCCTACGAAACTGATATTACGTATTTAAGATAGGTATATCTACCTTAGATGTGACGGCAACTTTTTCCTTAAAATCGGCTAACCGGAAGTGCCACTTTATATCAACGCTGAAACACATTTTCTCAAATGGTTTTTTAAAAGTTTATGGAATTTCTTAAAAAACAAAAAAAAAATCGACAACTAGGAGGAAAGATATGATCTCTAGTTTTTTTCCCTGAAGAGGCGAAAATTTGGATAAATTTAAAATATACTTTTTTAATTGTTGAGACTAAAAAAAGCCTTTTTCTACAGATATTTAATAAAGTATCTTTCCTTACTCTAAATATTGAAAAATATACAACATTTTTCATAAGAAATAAGTACCTAAATTTATACCTTTATTCTCAGTTCTATATTTCAACACTGCAATCACCACCCCCGGAATCAACTTACTCATATTCTGCATAGATAACTTTTTCAACTAAAATGACATCACTTAAAAATATTGAAATTGGAGTTAGTCATTCTGAAGTTTATAAAAGCAAAGAAAGTTGTGTGGTTTATAAAAGCAAATGGAGTGACTAGATTTTTATTGCCTGTCGTCGATATATTAAATAGACATTTTGTAATTATAATGGTCTTAATGACTTGTTTCTGTAAGCTTTAAGCTTTAGCTCTGTTTAAAATGCACTTCAAAAAAATTAATAATAGCACAGCATTGCCAGAAAATAATTTCTATCCATTGTAGATCGGTAAGTGAAAGTTGTGTGTTGCGCGCACCACATTTTTTTATTTTGTACATAGTATGTTCAACTAATATTTTCTTTACTTTTTTTTCTTTATTTTTACTTAGGTCAGATATAATACTTTAATTTTGTACTTTTTTGTTATTCTTAAGGGTCTTCGTCCCAGAATAAAATTATTTTCTATTCTATTGTATTCTAGGGCAAATTAGAAGGGAAAATGAGTGTTTGAAGGATAATTCGATCCCAGCTGACCTACCAAGAAGAGATGCAGTTGCCTGCCACTGGTCACAACTATCTGCCGAGTCATCCCTACAAGACAGGCATGGCTGAGGATCCTACCTGTAATTTGTGTCATCAAGGAACAATGGATGCAGATCATCTAGACACATGTCCTGTCTTGACGGAAATAAGAGAAAAAATATTTTTAAATATGTATATATATATATATTGTGGATACATTGTGGGATTGAGGGCAATGAACGAGCCGATTGCCTTGCAAAAGAAGCAGCTAAAAGCGATTTGCCGCCATCGTATCATCAAGCTCCTTTATCGTATATAAATATGAATTTAAAGTTGGATTTCATCAAAAGATGGGATCACATATGGGTGACCTCAGCTAAGTCACCAAGCTTACACAGATTTATACCACACATTTCAATTCACAATTACAGACACATTCACAGTAATGACTACAAACTTACGCAAGTACTTACGGAACATGGGAATACAAAACAATATCTTAAAAGATTCAACATTATACAAACAGACTTATGTGATGAAGACGGACAGGTTCAAAATTTTAAACATATAATATATGAATGTAAACGATTTGACAGACAGCGATTTGAGTTAATAAAAAGTATAATTATCAAAAGAGGAAATTGGCCTGAGACGGAACAAAAGTTATTTACTGAATTCAAGACAGACTTTCTTAGATTTATTAGATCGATCGACTTCGACTTACTAACCAGGGATGGGCAGCGTGGGTGATTTCTTTTTGGCTTTGTTAGATTGACTTTGTGTGTTTAATATTTAATTTTCCGATTTAATTTTTGTGTGTTTATTCTTTGTGTTTTTTTTTTGTTAATATATAAATTTGAACTAAAAATGTAAATCATGTGAAACTAGAAAAAAAAACAATTGTAAACAAATGTAATTCATGTAGTATGTCTTTAAGGCATGGAGCATGAAGGAAAATCAAATAAACGATCCTTGTGTGGGGTTACCACGTAAGGAAAAAAAAAAAAAAAAAAAAAAAAAAAAATATATATATATATATATATATTAAAAAATCTAAATTATACTGGGCAGCAAGATGTCGGGTGGCCAAATGACCAACGAATGGCATAAGAGAAAACAAAAACAAAAAACAATGAACACAGAGAGTCCTAATACAAAGAGAATCGCCTGACTCTTTCAACGTTCGATTCGGCCTGCGTTAGAAAAATTGATTTTGGCCTGAAATGTTATGTTTTGGGCGCGGGCGGATCTACGGGGTGGGAGGGGGTAGACTTTCGGACTGAAGCCTCCCCCCCCCCCCCCAAATGGGAAAAAATATTAAAAAATTATCTGGGAAAAAAATCTCTCAAAGTATTATTGTTCGTGTAATTACATTTAAAAAGGGCTTTAGGAATCATTTAAACACAATTTCATATAGGTAGTTAGTTTCTTTCTTTTTTTTTTTTCAAAGTAATTACCGTTATTTTTATGAAAAAAAAAACTTTCGGGCTGAAGCCTCCATCCAAAAATAAATCCTGGATCCGCTAGTGGTTTTGGGGGTGAAATTTATTCGGGATGCCACTGTATAGTTATTGATGATAATAATACAAATTACCTCGGCTTTAAATTTTAGGATTCTTTTAAAAAGCGATGTGGGTCAATTTTATTAACAAATATTTTTTTTTTGTTTAATATGGAATCTTGTTCGTTAGTTTATTTAAAAAAGTCATGTTAATATTTTTGGGATTTTCTATATCTTTAAGGTAATATGTGCCGTATGAGACGAAAACTAATTATAACTTGAAATAATTAACATTTGCTAAAATATTACAAAACTCTGGTCCTATGATACTGCCCTGAGATACACCAGTTTTTGTATCTGTTGAATTACTTGTATCGAGGTTTAACCAATTCTTTCCTCTTGCAAAAATAACTTAAATTCTCTCATGGATAAATCGGAGAGCCCAATGTTCCAATTCACATTGGTGAAGAGTGTTTCATGATTAATAGTATAAAGGCTTTAGAAATTTCTACAAATATTTCACAACACATATTTCATAACAATTGTGATCAATCAATCAGCTGTTTATTAACTGAAAGTGTCACTCATCATATCGTCCTCGAAACATCAAGTCGTGGTATACCGCTCACCACTCCTTAACTAAGCAAGTGAACTGGTTATAAGAACCGGTTACTAGGAACGTATCAGGAATTTTCTCAGCCAGGAACAGCTCAGGGTTATTTGCTCTCTAAGAGTTAAACAATGTCTCCAACCATATTTTAGCCGTTATATGATATAACCAAAATCTTATTTCAGGAACATATTATTTGAATAAATGGAGTGATTTTGAAATAAATAATAAGCCCCAATGGAGGTGTTTTACGTCACAATTCTTACATAAAACTTATTTTAAATATTTAAATAATTTTATAATTTCTTCTCCCTCACCCTGGATTCTTTCGTTTAAGTGACTCTATCTATTCTATCGGCGCCAGTACTACCTACCTTTCTGTACCAGGTCAATAGAACTCATCGTCTTCTATTTTTCACAGCTCACAATTTAAATACTCCATCCAATCTCGTCCCACTAGATCTCATACTTCCGACCTCTATCCTCCTCACCGAACTGCTGCGTATGACAAATCCTTTGCAATTCAAGTTTCTAGAGTTCTATCCCTGCTGATATTCGACACGCACAACCAGTTTTCTCTTTCAAAGCTCTTCTCTTTAAAAACTTACTCCTTTCTCAATCCGTCTGATGAAGAAATATACTTAAAAGAACTATCTAAGTTCTGTTTATTTATGTTCTGTTCTGTTATATATATATATATATATATATATATATATATATATATTTATTTATGACCACACGTACTCCTGAATAATCCTGTTCATTTACTATAAGTTAGTGACTTTATTCGTTATTGAGAAGTAAGCGGAAACAAACAATTCCTGGCCAATTGGTAAATTATGTATTCCATTGTATGAGACGACTTAACAAAACCCGAAAGTTCGATGCCAACACCACCATCACTATCTATGCACCGTCTAAATCCAGCTCCAACAGATCGTCCTTAACTTAATCTTCCCACCTTCGCTTTGGTCTATCCCTCAGACACTTGCAAGTCGATACATATTAACTTTTTAGGAATTCTTTCGTTACTAAGCCCAGCGATTTTATTCGCCTCAACTTAATCATATCAATTCGGATACAGTTCACGCAATCAGCGTTGTGTAACCGCCTAAATTCTCTGGCTGACTCGTCCTTTTTCGGTCCGAATATTCTGCGCAATACTTTATTTTCAAAAACCGTAAGACGTTGCTAATCCCTTAATGTAAGCGGCCACGTTTCGTTTCCGAAACGTTCGTCTATATTTATAGTTTTCTTTTATACATACTTTATAGATTACTAAATAGTAATCACACCACTATTATAATATTGTAAAGTAATAGTGTAACCTCAAGCATGTAGGTATTATTATGACAAAATGTATTGTAACAGTATATAGATGAGTGTATTTATATAAATTGATTGGCATTGAAAAAATAACCTTTTTTTTCCAGATTTATGTGAAACAATTATGAGTTTATATCGTTGAAAGTTATTCTTTCAAACTTCATACTGTATAGGAAATAAAAACACACATTTAAATATCCATATTTATTATTCTCTTTACAATAGCACAAGGTTCTGAAAATGAGAATGATTCGTGTAGTAAAGAATTTGTCCCTACAATCTCAAGATATTCCAGTGAATGTTGAGTATCCATTAGTACCAGGGGTTGAAACTTTCATAGAACTTTTAGGAAAAAAGTTCGTAAAATAGAAGTTGTAAGAATTTTTTTGTTATTAAAGTTCTAGATTTACTTAAAAAAAGTTCCATTAAGTAATAAATAAACAGTGTAACTGGGCTTAGATTAGAGTTATAATTTGTCTGAAGTTAATTACACATAATTCTTTTGTGTGTTTTATTTGAGTAGCTATGATAACAACATTTTTTTATATCGGCTTTTTAGAGAAATCTACAGAACTTTTTAAAAAAACTTTTTTTTTCCGTGTCAAGCCTGATCAGTAATACTATGATGGTAGTGTAGTAAATTGTTTACTAAGGAATACTTGGGATGCATTCATTATTTTATAACCTATTTTTGTATTTTCTTATAGACAATTAAAATAAATATTAAGTCTATATGAACAATTTTTAATAATATTAAGGGGAATACAGTTTAAAATGTTATCGAAGCAAACTAAACCTTGTACAATTGTTGAAAAAAGTTTACGCTCATTGGCAAATACCTAATGCTCTGTTAATTGGAGAACAGAAAGCAGAAGGTGAACCAAGTTGCAACGGACCATTTTCAGTTTTATACAAAACTTGGACCGGTTGTGGTTGGACTGCGAATCGGGACAGGAGACCTACGATACCATTTGGGTTGTTGGCTACCGGCTGACTTCTGTACTGTCCAGACCGTTGAGTGTCTGCTTGACACTTCGGATCTGCGTAACTTATGATAGGGCACAGCTTTGCTGGTCTGACGTAATGGACTGGGATGTGAGTCAGCTGTTTGGTCTTCGGGCGTAAATACACCATTGTGAATTGCTGTCTGTCGAGGTTGTCCTCGGATGGGAGCAAAACTGTGACTACGCCATTATCGGGCTTTGGTTGTACCTCTTCTGGGAGGTTATCTTCCTCAGCCGCTGGCAAAGGTATAACAACCTGCTGTGGAGGTAATTCTCCTTTCGGTGTTTCGAGGATGATTTTAATGTTGCGGTCGCCGTTCCATCCTTTTGGAAGGGTTACGATTACTGTCAATGGACGACTTCGTCCAACCGATGGGGGAATGTGTGCCACGACCTTTTTGGAACCAAAACTAGCCGATGGGTACATTACATTAATCTGGCCTGGACTTAATGATGAATAAGAAGGATTGAAACTTTTAGATTTAATAATTATTGTCGTTCCGTCACGGGTCGGTTCAACAGGTACAACAATGGGATAGTGTTTCGGGTTGTATGGCCTTGCTCCTAGTGTTACTATTGGCCGCCATGGAGCTTTAATTTTGTTTACAATAGTACTTCCTAAATTCTCATCATTTACTTCAGGACTAAATGATTCTTCGTAGCTACCTTGCTGATCTTCATCTTCCCAATCCTTCTCTGAGCTATCGTCATTATCGGAATTATCCTCATCTTCCCAAGAGTTGTTTTCCCAACTGTCAGGATTTTCTGAGCTGTCTTCATGCTCCCAAGAATTGTTCTCTTCCCAACTACCTGGATTGTGTGAACTTTCTTCATCTTCCCAAGAATTGTTCTTTTCCCAACTGCCAGGATTTTCTGAACTTTCTTCATCTTCCCAAGAATTGTTCTTTTCCCAACTTCCAGGATTTTCTAAGCTGTCTTCATGCTCCCAAGAATGGTTCTTTTCCCAACTTCCAGGATTTTCTGAGCTTTGTTCATCCTCCCAGGAATTGTTCTTTTCCCAACTGTCTTGATTTTCTGAACTATTATGGTCTACCCAACTGTTGTTCTTTTCCCAGCTGTCAGAACTTTCTGAACTATTGTGTTCTTCCGAAGTGTTGTTCTTTTCCCAGCTGTCAGAACTTTCTGAACTATTGTGTTCTTCCGAAGTGATGTTCTTTTCCCAGCTATCAGAACTTTCTGAACTATTGTGTTCTTCCGAAGTGTTGTTCTGTTCCCAGCTGTCAGTACTTTCTGAACTATTGTGTTCTTCTGAAGTGTTATTCTTTTCCCAGCTGTCAGAATTTTCTGAACTATTGTGTTCTTCCGAAGTGATGTTCTTTTCCCAGCTATCAGGACTTTCTGAACTATTGTGTTCTTCCGAAGTGTTGTTCTGTTCCCAGCTGTCAGTACTTTCTGAACTATTGTGTTCTTCCGAAGTGTTATTCTTTTCCCAGCTGTCAGAATTTTCTGAACTATTGTGTTCTTCCGAAGTGTTGTTCTTTTCCCAGCTGTCAGAACTTTCTGAACTATGATGGTCTTCTGAACTGCTGTTCTCTTCCGAACTACTTACGCTTTTTGAAGTATCATCATGCTCCCAACTACTACTCTTTTCCGAACTATTGGATTGCTTGGAACTATTGGACTGCTCCGAACTATGGGACTGCTCCGAACTATTGGATTGCTCCGAACTATGGGACTGCTCCGAACTATTGGATTGCTCCGAACTATTGGACTGCTCCGAACTATGGGACTGCTCCGAACTATTGGATTGCTCCGAACTATGGGACTGCTCCGAACTATTGGATTTGTCTGAAATATTTTCTTCTTCAGAACTGCCCAGTGCAGTGCTGGTTGATTCTTGCGAATTTGTTGATTCTTCCGAGCTAAATGCTTCAGTTGTTGTAGAAAGTTCTTCCGGAATAGTAGATAATACTGGGGTAGTAGATTGTTCTTCTGTGGTGGTAGTTGGTTCTTCTGTAATTGTTGTGGGTTCTTCTGTGATAGTAGTGGGTACCTCTGTAATAGTAGTAAGTTCTTCTGGGATAGTAGTAGGTTCTTCTGGGATTGTAGTAGGTTCTTCTGGAGTTGTAGTAGGTTCTTCTGGGATTGTAGTAGGTTCTTCTGGGATTGTAGTTGGTTCTTCTGTAATTGTAGTGGGTTCTTCTGTAATTGTTGTGGGTTCCTCTGTAATTGTAGTGGGTTCGTCTGTAATTGTTGTGGGTTCCTCTGTAATTGTTGTGGGTTCTTCTGTGACTGTAGTTGGTTCTTCTGTAATTGTAGTGGGTTCTTCTGTAATTGTTGTGGGTTCCTCTGTAATTGTTGTGGGTTCTTCTGTAACGGTAGTTGGTTCTTCTGTGACTGTAGTTGGTTCTTCTGTAATTGTTGTGGGTTCTTCTGTAATTGTAGTTGGTTCTTCTGTGATTGTAGTGGGTTCTTCTGTAATTGTTGTGGGTTCTTCTGTAATTGTAGTGGGTTCTTCTGTGATTGTAGTGGGTTCTTCAGTAATTGTTGTGGGTTCTTCTGTAATTGTAGTGGGTTCTTCAGTAATTGTTGTGGGTTCTTCTGTGATTGTTGTGGGTTCTTCAGTAATTGTTGTGGGTTCTTCTGTAATTGTTGTGGGTTCTTCCGTAATTGTTGTGGGTTCTTCTGTAATTGTTGTGGGTTCTTCTGGAACAGTAGTAGGTTCTTCTGGGATAGTAGAAGGTTCTTCTGGAAAAGTAGTAGGTTCTTCTGTGATAGTTGTAGGTTCTTCTGTAATTGTAGTGGGTTCTTCAGTAATTGTTGTGAGTTCTTCTGGGATAGAAGAGGGTAGATCTAAAAAAAAATAATAAACAGTTTGATGTAAGATAAGTTTAAACAGGAGATAACCTTACACAACCCAACTTTTTAATACATTACTAACATTTTTAAAAGATTTGCTTTACAAAATGACAGTGACGTTTGCTACTAATATTTTATTTCATTTAATTGTTGAAAATGTAAATAACATTTCACTAATTACCGGCATATTAATAGAAATGTAAATTTTAATAACAAACATGTAGTTTCTATATTGGTAAAAGCAAAAAAGGTAATTTCATTCTATATTCAATTATAGAAGCAAGATAGATCAGTAAGTCAACTGTACTACTATGCTCTGGGTTTCGAGTGTGGCTGTGATACGTAATTATTTATTCTGTAATTTGGAGAACATACAGCCAATAAGTACGCTTATTTAAATAATTTTTTAAGGGTAAACTGGTGGTTGAGGTTAGTATCGGTGACGTGACACCCTTGCACAACCGTTGACATATAAACAGTACGTCTTTGCAAAGTATTGTACCAGAGAACATGGTACAGGTTTTATTCAATTATATAGTGTCCCACCGAGCACTTTAAGGAAAATCACAGACAAGATTTAACTTTTTTCCTTATACACCTGTAAACCATTCTTCTGCAAACTATTTTAAATGAACTGAATTCTCTTGCAGTGTTATAGTGAAATTGAGAACTATCGAAAAAAACACTGCAAATTATTTCACAATGGTCTATTATTTCCAAACAATTATACATCTAAAGTAACATTACCTTCCGAGTTACAAAGAAAAAAAAAACAAAAGGTGATTCCAATTATTGGACTAACTGTTTTTCTTTAATCATTAGTAATATGCTAAAAAAAAAAAAATAGCATTAGTTCAGTAACACATTCAAAATTTAAAAACCAAACCAAGGATATAACATTTGGAGTAGAACATATTAAAAAAAAACGGAGACCATATCTTTGCTCCTAATTGTCCGATTTTAACGATTAATAGGAAATTTCGTAAACTTTAAAAAAAACTATATCAACCAAAAAGTAAAAACTTTTCGAGTTATTCGGAATTTTTTTCCAGCTTCTTTTCGTTGAAGTATGTTGTATAGATAAATTTAAAGGGCGTCGAGAAAATGACTTTAGCGAAGTTTCATTGAAATCTGTACACTCGTGTAGGAGCTACAGTCTATAGCAACGCAGGTTTTTAGGCCGCCATTTTGAAAGTTAAAGGCGGAGGGTAATATCGATGAAGGAGGATCATCCTCGGGGACCTCTGATTTTATATCAAATTTTTTTTTTTTTTTTTTTTTTTTTATTGGTGATATTTACAACTGTATTACAAGTAAAAATACATTCAGTAAATGTGAACAAAGGAATAAAATAGCATGAAATCACATGTTGAGAAACTACCCATTGGTAGCACTCTAATATCAAAATTTGAAAAAAAAAAAATCGGTCCAGTAGTTTCGGAGGAAATGCACGGACGGCGAACGGACAAAAAAAAATTTGTATTCGTTTTTCGAATTCTACGCGTCCTAAAACGTGAAACCTCAAATTTTGAGAGGGGGTTAAGTTTTTGAATTTTTTGGTCGATCACAATGGTTGATTATTGAAAATAATAAACCAAAATCTTCCAACTTAAAATGAATTGTCTTAAATCTATTTTTTTTTTAAGGGTTTCTGTTTAAAAAATAAGAATCGTATTAAGAATATATGAAATATTTACCTTCGATATTAGAAAGAGGTTTAGTGGATCTCGATTTTGTTTTCCTTTTCGGTTCTGAAAATATGAAATGAAATGATTAACATGTAATAAATATATAAATACCTGTTAAAAAAAAAAATACAAATTATGTTGGATGGAATTATTGAAAACTCCAAACTTAAAAGCCACATCCACAAAATCCAAAACACGAGTCTCCAAGATACAGCTAAATAATTAACTAACTTGCCACATATATGGTTGTCATACAGGCAAGATGACTATTCACTTGTATATTGGATATTCGTGGCTTTGTTGTTTGGATTTTCCCATCTATTACATAATCACCCTATGTCTCTTTTCTAGTTTTATGCTCATTTTAGTATAATTTACAAAAATAAATGTCATTTCAGAAATACACTAAAAAAACGCTACAAGTTATTTCACAACGGTTTATTATTTCCGAACAATTATAAAGTAACATTACTTTCATTGTAACATGAAGAAAAAAAAATAAATTCCTATTTATTTTTCATCATTAGTAATTTGCTAAAATAAAAATAACATTACTTCCGTAACACTATCAAAAAAAAAAAAAAAAAAAAGGATTTAGGCAATTTTTGCAGTACCATATCTTTGCTCCAAATTGTCTGATTTTAACGACTTTTTTTTGTTTATTAGGAAATTTAAATACCTTCGAAACGTTTAGTTACAATATCAACTAAAAAGTGTATACTTTTTGAGTTATTCGGAAATATAATTTTACTATCCCTTGTAACTTTTTTTCCAGCTTCTTTTCGTTGAAGTATGTTGTATAGATAAATTTAAACGGCATCGATAAGAAGACTTCAGCCAAGTTTCATTGAAATCGGTACATTCGTTTAGGCGCTACAGTCCATAGAAACACAGGTTTTTCTACCGCCTTCTTGAAAGTAAAAGGCGGATAGTAATGTAGATTTAGGAGAATCGTCCTCGGAAGACCTCTGACTTTAAATCCAAATTTGAAAAAAATCTGTAGTCTCGGAGAAAATGCGCGGACACGACTTCGGATGGTGGGGAAATATTTTCTTAAGACTGTCTCCCGGGTGATCTTTTTCCATTTTCTCGAGTTTTCATCTTCCAACATGAAAGTTAAACTTTAGTAAAATTTAATTTTTTGAATTAATACTTAAATCCTAAAACGCAATAAGTAATAATCCTTCGAGTCCCCTCTTCATGAAAATACATCACCAAATATTTTGGAAATTGTTAAACTATTAATATCTGTCATCTGATTTCAAAACAATTAAAACTAAATTTTTTTTTATATATAGTTTCCCGCTTATGGGAATCAGTTTGGCACTGAAATACAAAATTAAAATTTTAATTCAGTAATAAAAAAAATATATAATGATATAAATAAGAATTACTTTTGACGACAGAGATGGTCGTGGAAGGTTCTGTTGTAGTTGTTGGGTGCACATCTGAAAATAAATAAATAAATGAAATATATATTTGTTCATTGTAATACTAAATGAAAAATAAATTTAATAAAGAAAAGAAAAACTGAGAGATATGAGTGAATTATGAAAAGAAATGCCCGATTTTTATTTATATTATATGGAGGGAGGGACCAAGATGGCCGAGAGAACTAAGGCGTCTGCAATAGGTACGTTAGATAGATAGATAGATAGATAGATACAAAATAAATTTTATTCTGGGACGAGGTCCCTTATGAATAACATTTCTGAACAAAAAAATAAAAACTACATCTGGCCAAAAATTACATTAATGAGTATATACAGTATGTTGAGTAAAAGTATATTAAAACAAATAAAAAAAAAAATAGAAATCAGGTAAAAAAATAACAAAATAATACAAGCATGGGTTGATTTAAAAAAATTAAAATTCAAACAATATTAACAACCTTTCACCTCAGTCAAAAGCTGTTTCACAATATGTATTTTATTGTACAACGTCATTTTGGGATGTGAGAAGGAATTGGTAAAGATGATATTTAAATGAGGACAAGGAAGAGGCATGGCGGATAACAGATGGCGAGGAATTCCAGAAGGCAGTGAATCGGGCAATAAAGGAATATTCAAATGTCTTAGTTCTATGGGAAGGGATATAATGGTCGGAAACACTGCAAGTAACGTCGAGCGTGGTAATTAGTTCGAAGTGTGAGCATCCACCGGGGAAAGGCAAGCTGGCCTAGATTTCCCTTTCCCCGGGTAATTGAGGCCCGTCAAATCTACTGGAGGCAACTCATGTCGATCGCACGATGTGTTTACCAGAATTTCAGTATCCCTCCCCCTGAGGTTTGGGTCCTTGTACGGTCTGTTTCAGGGAAATAAAGACGGGTCCTCATGCGCATGTTGACTTAGAGCAGTCATAATCTACAGATTTAGACTGATTTTCACTATCTTTGGACATAAGTGAATCGTTAGAAAGGAAACTATCTGATTCGCACCAAAGGGATCGGCTAAGGAGCTATCGGTGGTTTGCTGCTGCGTCATGGAGCTCATGGTAGGTGAGGTTGGGTCACCGCCTATCAGTTCTTCTGTAAGCAATATAAGTCTGTAAGAAGACCATGTCACAAAAATCAAAGTACGTTCTTCAAACAAACGTATGAGTATACTAATTTATTTTATACCTTCTCCTGCCTCAAGACAATACGGTTATTTGCAGCAGTGAGATGTAACTGTTACATATCAACTCACTGCTACATTTTTAAACTATTACATTTTGTTTCTCAGCTGTGCACACGTCATTCACTTGCTCTTCTCTTCACTTCTGCCTCGTTTGCTTTTCTTTTATTTATTCTGGCTCCTCTTCTTCTTCCCAGTGAGAAGTGCACATATTTGTCTGTGGTCATAAGTTGAGGAAAATGACTCTCTGTTAGGACAAAGATACCCGTCTCCCTCAACAGTTTCGCCCTCGGTGACTCATATACGGTACGGTACATGCTCAGCGGTGTCCGTTACCCCACAACTTGGGCATAACGTATGAGTATAACTCACTTTTAATGTATTACAGTCCTGGGATTACGATTTTTGCAAGGAGAGAAAATTTTTAATTTTGTTTGCTTCTTCTACCGTTTCTCCTCTCAAATAAAGTTATCAGTTTTATAAATATATCTTAGGCAATATACTTTAAAATACGCCATCTTATAATGTTATCTCATTTCATTGATTGAGTTAAGGTAAAAATAGTAAAACAACTATCAATTTTTTACACAATCTAAAAATGAAAGTTCACTGAAAATTCACTGCCTTCTAAATTCTACTATTTGTCCTATTTGCTCTTCTTGTCCTTTGTAATTTCAGTTCAGACATTTTATATCATATTTCCGTATTTACTAATTTTTTATTATATTTTTATGAAAATTTAATTTTTCCTCACCCTTTCTACAGATGTAATCAACTCGTAGGTACTTGTAAGTTTCTGGACATGGGTTGCCAAATAATTTATTAAATGATGATAAAGTACATCTTATTTCACCTTCACACCTGAAAATGAAAAGAAATCCATTATTTTGTTATATTTTTATCATCTATAAGACAAATCTATAAATGGTATGTATAACCTTTATATACCTAGTTCTGTCATAAATACTGTTACAAAAGTTGAACTTGGGTATTATTTAGATAATCTTTACCTCTGTCAGGCTATTTTATTTACATGTCAGAATAATAATCCCAATTAGTTTCTATTTTTCTTTCGCTCAGTTAACATGGAGTGGGGTAATAAAGAAAACCAAATCGCCTTACAAAAATTTGGAAACTGTTGGTCATAGATTTTCAACACTTTGAAACCTTTGGATATCAGCTATGTTCGTGTACCGCATTATTAATAGATATAATGAGACCCTATCTATATATGGTAGACCTCGAGCTCGTACCCGCACTTTGAAAACGGAAAATTAAGTGAGATTAGTGGCTCTTCGAATCAGAAGAAACCATTTCCCTCAAAAAAATACAGTGGATTGATGCAAGGTGCTCCTTGGTCTACACGTTGCACCAATGGTCTTCATTGACAGAATTTGTTTAGCGATGAGAAAATTTTTACAATTGAAAAAAATTTAAACGCCAAAATGATCGTGTGTAAGCACACAGCTCCAAAGAAGCCCAGGAAGTCATTGGAAGAGTGGAAAGTGGTCGTCATCCTTCCTCAGTGATGTTTTGGTGGGGAGTTTGCTTTGATGGTACTACAAAGCTTCATTTTTCTGAAAAAGGAGTTAAAACATTCGCTAAGAACCATTAGAACGATATTTTGGAACCTGTTGTCAAGCCTCAAATGATACTCTGTTAGCTGAAAGTCATTGGGTTTTCCAGCAGGATTCCGCTCCAGCTCACAAGGACAGGTCAACTCAGCAATGGCTACAAAAGAACATTCCAGAGTTCATCTCTTCCTCGGAATGGCCCTCAGGAAGCTCTGATCTCAACCCACTGATTCAGTATTGTCAAGATAAATTGGAGGGCATGTTTCACATCTAAGAGTAAAAGTAATGTGTTGTGTTTTTTTTGGTTAAGTCGAATTTTCCAAAATTTGCTCCAATCTTTTAGTTTTGCTAGATGATGTTGTAAAGTCTGTGAGGTGTGTGTAGGATTTTTATGTCTAGTCAGAATTTCTGTATCGTATGCGTAAGTCGCTATAATAGTTTCGGCGCTGTTAGGAAATTCGTTTGTTCACACGATGTATAAAAGTGGAGCGAGACTCCTGAGGTACTCCATTATTATTTTATGAAAACATTATTATTTCATAAACCTGGTACTTTTTGCCTCTTCTCGGTATTATCTTAAGAAGTAATTGAATTATTTACTTTTTAATTATTATTGACGTTAATCATCAATGTTATTTTGTTTATGTTATCTGATGTATTTTTGGCTATTCTTTTTAATATCATATCCATAAATTGATCTAGATCTAAAAGATGCTATAGTCTGCGGTATAGAAGAAAAAATTTGTGAATATACCATCTTTTGGTAAAATACTTTTTTATCTAAGAAAATTCTCTGAAATGAAAATTTTTCTCTTTAAATTAATTAATTTACTGATCTTCTGAAAACTCATGCGTACTCATTTCTTTTTCGTTTGAATTGTAAGATAATTAGATCACGAAATTGTGAAAAATGTGGCATACAAAAATATTAGGCCGTTTGTCCTAATTCACTTCGTCATTTTGACATATTGGGGTGGAGGTCACGCCATACGGCCCAATATTTTTGTAGGCCAATTTTTTCTTGATTTTGTGATCAAATTATCATACCATTCAAGTGTAAAGCAAATGGATGTTCATGCTATTTTAGTACTCGAGTAAATAGACAAACTTCATCGGTCTCCAGATTGAAAACTCCCAATTTTCGAGATGTTAACTTTAGAATGTTGTAGGGCACACTAAGATTTAACTGTTCACGAAGTTTTAGATGGATGTTAATAGTGTTGATAAAACCTGGTGCGCGCATCACACGACTTTCACTTCCACACTCTTCTTAGCAGGAATAAGTATTTTCAGACAAAGGGGAAGTGAAAGTAAAAATTATTGACACTATATAAATTTACAATTCTTTGTCGGTATTTTTATTTTTTTAAATACTTTTACATATAAAAATTTTATTTTTTATATAGCTGTATTATACAATTATATAATTAATGATATACAATTAAATATTAAATAATACTAACTATAGCATTTATGGAAACCTCATATGTATATAAGCATCACATTGTCAGAGTCCGTATTATATGAAGCTCATGTTACGTACAGATGCCTGTTTTAATCTTTCGGGTGAGCCCGGGCAAGCTCATATTTTTTTTTTATTCCTCTACTACAACTATTATCCGTTACGATCTCTTATTTCTCCTTTAGTTAATTATCAAATTCTGTCATATTTAGCTATTTTTTATATTAATGATTATTTTGAAATGGTTAATTATTTCAAATAAAAAAATATAAAGCTACTTTAGGGGAAATCAATATTGAAAATTAGCTATTTAAACTCTGATAGAGAACATCAATGAGAATAAAACCTACATTATATTAAAAACTGCTTAATAATACACTGATATACTGAGTTTAATCAAAATCGTTAGAGCCGTTTTTGAGAAAATCGTAAAATTATGTTAAATTGATTATATAAAGTATCACTTCCGGTTTTCCAATTTTGACTAAAATTTTGCTGGAACATAAAAACCTTAAATATGCGATTTCACTTTCATACGACTTGTTTTTTTTTGTTGTTTTTTTTTGAACTGATAACATACATAAACAAACACAGACCATTTTGTGGGACTTGGATTTCCGTTGAAAACTCAGACTTGAAAATTTTCACGATAGCAATATTTACCCGTACTATATCTTGCATATATAGGTAAGTGAAAGTAAAAAAGGATCTAACAGATATTGTCCAATGCTACTCTGATTACTGAGTACTTCAGTTAATCGTTTGACAGAAAATGAAGTAATAATTAAATTGTTTGGTACTAAAAAAATACGAGTATTTGAGTAAAATACTTGATACTCAGTAGTATTTGTATAGTAGCATTTGGCCATCTCTTGGGTCTGTATAGCAGCTTAAAAAGAAAGACAAAAAAAAATTTCATGAGTTGTCGAATTCAATTAAGATAGATTCTTTCATTAACAGACGACTAATACAATTTTACACACTACATAACAAAAATATAATTTTTATAGTTTTAGATTCTCTTTCGATCCTCGACGATGGAAAACATAGTCATTAGGTAAATGTAACATTAGATTTAGTTGGAAAAAACAAGCTAGAGGTAATCAATCCGAGGTTTGGACAAAATATTTTCAACATCAAAACAATTAATATCATTATAGGTCAACAGTAGGTTTTTCACTTTTGTGGAATAGTTTCTTTTTTAGAGAAATTCCTTGGTTGAGAGAGAACAAAATTAAGAACAAAATTAATAATCAAAGGCTTTTTTTTTCCTATTTTGTTAAAAGAAAATAAGTAAAAGAGATATGAAAGGAGTAATTACAAATCATACTAAGAATTATTTTGTATATGTTTGTTTGTATGACGAAAGGGATTTATAAGTTCGGAATTTAAAAGTAGAAAAGTCTGACTGACAATAAGATAAATTTAAAATATATATATTAGAAACGTTTTTATCTTCGGAAGTTTATTTTCAATCAGGAAAACTATTTCTTCTTTTGTATGCATCATAAAATAATTTCCTAGTTTAGAGTTATAAATTTTGTATCACTTTTAATAACGATGGTTAATTATTTCAAATAAATGAAATTTAACATAAAAATTCAAAGTTTCAATATTTTGCTTATATTTCACGTAAAATCAGTTTTTAGTGACCAATATATTATTTTTATTAAATACCGAACGAAAACGTACTTGAAAGTTCAACTCCACCAATAATGTACTAAGTGACTGCATTATAAATCAACGATATAAATTATACTCATAATTAATTATAAAATGTTGGATGAAGAATTTTTAAAATATAAATTTCATTATGATTTTAGCATTGTTTCAATTTAATCATAGTCATATTTATAGATTAAAATTCAAAAGAATACAAGGGATGTTGATTATCGTTGGTGATGGAATAGGAGTTCCAGAAGGACGAAGGATTTACTGAAGGAAGTGGTTTTATGGTAGGGTATACATAAATCTATAGGTTCAGATCTGGTGTTGGGAGAGTGGATAGAGGAGTGTGAAGTAAGGAGTTCTAAGATGTAGGGAGGGTTTTTAGTTCTGAGGACTTGGAAAAGGAAAACAACAAGAAGGAATTGTCGTCGAGAAGTAGGATAAAGCCACTTCAACTCGGTGTACCAGAGTGAAACATGTAAACGCCTGGGGATCCCGAAGATGTATCTTATGAAACAGTTCATCAGTTTCTTCAGTCTAATTTCCATTATGGCAGATAGCCCTCCATATACCAAACAGTGGTAGTCGAAGTGGGAGAATACAGGGGAGGTTACACGGAGCTATCTGGTTTTTAGAGGAATACAAGTTGTTTAAGGGCATTTATGGATTTTCGGGTAATTTGGGAGATATGGTTATCCCAGGAGAGGTTCTGGTCAAAGGTTACTCCTAGGTTTTTGACTGTAGGGAAAAAATGGATGGGACGGTTATTGATGTTAAGTAGAGGAAAGTAAGGAAGGGAGCTGATGAGATGTCTGGACCATATGATAATAGCCTTGGTTTTATCTGCATTCAGCTTTAATTCATTTATTTCTGCCCAACTGTTGATGCAGTCGATGTCCTCTTGTGGCCTTCGGACAGCCTCAGGCATCTCAGAAGGTTGGAATGATTGGTATAATTATGCTTTTTATTATAATAACAATGTGAGATAGTTTATTATTTGTAATAAACATACTTAAAGATGTTTTGGAGTACTTTAGTAATTTATTTTTACGCAGATATAAGTAACTGATCGATTTTCTTTCCCCCTCCCTTGCTACCATATCTCCAGTCTATTCCAGAAATCTCTTGGAACAGGTTGGTTTTCTAACTTAGGACTGAATCAACCTTCGTTTTCACAGATTGCTCCGGCAATGCGTAGTGTGTAATAATAATAATAATAATAAAAAGGCTTAGCGAACCCGAAGGTTCGATGCCGACACCACCAATCGATTATTACACACCTCCCTCCACCGTTCGCCGTCCAAACCCAGTCCCTTCAGATCGGCTTTAATGCAATCTTCCCACCTTCGCTTCGGTCTACCCCTCGGACGCTTACCATTCGGCACAGCAAATATTAACCTTTTAGGAATTCTCTCGTTACTAAGTCCAACAACTTTACAAGCTCATTTGATTCGCCGCGATGAAATTATCTCAATTATATTACTCGGATACAGTTCACGCAATTCGGCGTTGTGTAACCGTCTGAACTCTCCGGTTAACTCATCCTTCTTCGGTCCGAATATTCTACGCAATACTTTATTTTCAAAAACCTTAAGACGCTGCTCATCCCTTAATGTAAGCGGCCAAGTTTCGCATCCATAAAGAACTGTAGGCAAGATAATTTTTTTATAGATTCTAATTTTTAAGTTCCGGGACAAGAGGCGCGAACTAAGTAGTTTTGTCACAGAAAAATAACAAGCATTCCCCGCCTTCAGTCTAACCTTAATCTCTTCTTCAATTTCGTTTTTTCTAGTTATCGTAGAACCTAGATACCTAAACTTATCTACCTGCTCAAACATATTACCATCTATATCGATATCACCAGTAGTATCGCCATTTTTGCAGCTAACCATATATTTTGTTTTATCCACGTTTATTTCGAGTCCTAGTTCTTTCCCGGCTTTCATTAACGTTGTCGTATTTAGTTTTATAGTTTCAAGGTCTTCGCTTAACAGTACCAGATCATCAGCATAGCCCAGCAAGGATGTTGTCCCGCCCAGATCCAACCCTTTCTCGGTACGCATTACCTCCCTAATGGCATGTTCTAATGCCAAATTGAACAGTACAGGCGAAAGGGAATCCCCGTAGTGTGTAAAATGGATGAAATTATAATAGCAGCAATTACTGAAAGATTATTTTTCGAAATAAGTCATCCCACGCATATGAAGTAAGAATTAAAAATGTTGTAACTTACTTGGCTCTGACCATTGCTAGAGCGTTAGGTGTTTTACAGTGGAGGTTAGAGATCTTTCCTGGGTAAGGACAGGTATTGGCGTTCGCACGACCGTAAAAGGTGTCAGCTACTAATATCACAGTATCAGGGGGACAGACGATCTCTTTGCTTTCATCTTCGCAAGCCAAAAGGGTCTGCAAAGTGTTAGGTGTAACTGAAACACAACATTACAAACAAAAATTAGATATGCAGTAGTACCCCGAAGTACAGACCCCTTTTTATCAAATTTATACGAACCGCCTGAAACTTCGTAAAGAGCTTCATCTCATCATAAACTACAACGATTTTTACAACTTTTATTTCTTTCTTATTTCAGCTTTCTCAATTTCTTCCCTCCTTCCTTTCATTCCTTTTCTCTGTTTTTAACTCTTTATTATATTATACATTGTCTGTACATCTTGATAGACTTTACAATATCTCAATTTTCTATCTAACTACTCCATTCTCAATATTTTAATTTTATTATTTACTTTCATTTCTTATATAACTTCATATTTCTTTTTTATGTTTTACATTTTATTCTAAGATTCCCGTTGTAACACTTTTGTCACCCTTTTTGATTATGCCTACTTCATCATTCCACACTTTGTAACGGTTTTTATTATTTATCTCTTAGTTCTTAGTCATTATTCTAACAATTTCATTTTACTTTATATTTATCTATTTCATTTTTTTTTATTTTTTTTTTATTATCTTTTTTACCATCATTACTTATGTTTCTCATACCTTGTTATCTGGTTATTTTCTTAGCCCTGATGAAGGCCTGAACTTCAGGTCGAAACGTCGGCATATGTAAAAAAATAAATATTATCATTTATTTTTGCCTTCCTTTTTGACTGACCACCCCAACTATTCTTCTCTTCATTATCCACGACTGTCAACCAATTACCAATTATAAACTAAAACTATTTTATTTACGAAAATTCTCGGAATTGGGGCGTTTTCAATCTGGTAAAAGGTAAACTTTGTCTACTTAATTTTTTTAAATTTATTTATTTAAATTATAACAATCTGTCACGTGGACAATAGTTTATAGTGATACATGAACACATTTACATCTTATATAAAAGAAAATATAAAATTAACAAAAGTAAAATAATAATCAAAAACTATGTGCAATAAAAAAAAATAACCTAAAGATAAGTAAATTACAAAACATAAAACACAGCCATAGCTATATATACAATATATACAATTAGGTAGGGAACCCCAAGGCAGGCTTCTCCCCCAACTTGTCTACTTAATTAAGTACTAAAAACTCGTAAATACCCATCTGCTTTCCACCACTTGGGGATCCAGGATTTAAATTTGGGGGGAGGGGCTTCAGCCCGAAAGCTTTTTTTTTTTTCATAAAAATGACGATAATTACTTTGAAAAAAAAAGGAACTAACTATCTGTATGAAATGTCGTTTAAGTGATTCCTTATATCCTTTTAAATGTAATTACACGAACAATAATACTTTAAGAGATAATTTTTTAATATATTTTTCCATGAAACATGGTGATATTTACCATTTGGGGGAGATTCAACCAGAAAGCCTCCTCCCCCCGTAGATCCGCCCGTGCTTTCCATTAAATCATAATTTCAGCACAAAATCGAGAAAAAATGTGACCTTTAAAAATATCGAGCAGTTTGGCGTCACCTATATTCGGGGTCATATAGGCCAAATGGCCTAATATTTTTATGAACCACATTTTTTCTCGATTTTTATCTTACGATCCAAGTGGAGAGAAAGTGGGTATTTACGATTTTTTTTTATAACTAATTAAACAGACAAAATTTGTCGATCTTCAGATTTAAAACGCCCTAATTCCAAGAGTTTTCGTAAATAAAATGATCGCTATTCACGAAGTTTCAGGCGGATGTTAATAAATTGATAGAAAAGTGTCTGTACCACGGACTATAATAGGTTTAATAAAAATTCCACTTAACGACGAATAATTAATTTTAACAACACAATAATTATTTAAATATATATGAATTAATTATGATAATTACTTGTATGTGCTTCTGGAGCGGGTGTTGTGATGGGGCCTCTGGCAATTTCTGTAAAAGTTTAATTAAAAAAAAAAAATAGTATTAATTTTATGTAATAAGATTTAAATATATTTTCGGAAAGAAATTTTTTTTAAAAATCGAGAATTTTATATTATTTTTTTTTTAGTTATATATTTTCACATAAATTCACTATAATATTTAAATAAAAATAAATAAAATATTTTCTCTGAATATAAAAAAATATAATAAAATTAATATTTTAATGTTTAAATATCATTTAACTGACACTATAAAATAAGGTGGATTATCATAAATGATATATTAACTTAAAAATAACATTACCTGCTTCAGTGATTATCTCTTCTGAAAATAAAAAATAAAAATAGTTAAAACTCTTATAAAAATTTATTATTTTAAATGTTTATTTGTAAGAAATGATTAAACTATATTTATGAAGAGAAGAATAGTTGGGGTGATCAGTCAAATAAGAAGGCAAAAATAAATGATAATATTTATTTTGTCATTTGTCGACGTTTCGACCTGAAGTTTAGGCCATCATCAGGGCTAAGAAAAGAACCAGATAACAAGGTATGAGAAACATAAAAATTACAGTAAAATGCAGTTGTTAGAATAATGACAATAATAAGAACAAGAGATAAATAATAATAACCGGTACAAAGTGTGGAATTATGAAGTAAACATAATCAAAAAGGTGACATAAGTATTGAAATGGAATAAAATGTAAAACGAAAAATATGAAGTTATATAAGAAATGGAAATAAATAGTAAAATTAAGATATTGTGAATAGAATAGTTAGATAGAAAATTGAGATGTTGTAAAGTCTATCAAGATGTAAAGACAACGTATAATATAATAAAGAGTTAAAACAGAGAAAATTAACTTTTTATTACATTTTGCCTTCTTATTTCTGACTGATCACCCCAACTATTCTTCTCTTCATTATTCACGACAGTCAACTATTTAACCACTATTATTAAACTATATTTATTTGACAAAGACTAAAAATATTATAATTAAATATGTTTTGTATCAGGGCAGTACGTTAAGGGTTAAAATAAGAATAGAAGCTGTTAATTTGTATGTATAGGTATAACTAATAACTAAACTTAATTTTTGTCTTGCTTTTAATTTAGAATATCGTCTTAACAATGAGTGAAACTATTTTAGTCTTACAATTAGATTTATTTTGATACGTTTTTTCTTTAAATGTGAATCCCATGACATTCTCATACCAAACATCAGTCCTAGGTAGTAAACGTAATGTCTGAAACTTTTGGTAATTTATTTGAGTCTTGCCAAGTGATGCTTGGGTAGAATTTCTTCTATATTTAGGTTTTTTTTTTTTTTTTTTAATTTCTTTATTTAGTATTATAACAATCTGTCTGTTGGACATTGGTTATAGTGAGGTAGGATGACATTCACACCATATGTACAAAAAAATAAAATAAATAGAACAAAATAATAATCAAAAGTATATACAATAGACAATAAAATAAAATAACCTAAAAAATAAGAAAATTAAAACTAAGAAAAAAAAAAAAACACATGCATACCTATATACAATCAGGCGAGGGAACTCCAGGAGAACCCTGCATTTAGGTATTAAATAATAATTACTAGTTAATATTATTTTATATTTAAACATAAGAAACATATAATAAAGAAAATTTGTAATTGCGTCACAGCAAACAGGTTATAACACTTGTGCATATAAAATTTGAATATGAAATCAAATCGTTAGCAGTTATACTATTTAGATGTTGAATTTTGTTTAGTTATCTGCTATATTTACATCAGAGATTTTCCATATCGGAAAATAGAGGTACCGTATATTGTAATGTTATAATTTTTAAGCCTTTTGAATACAAACAAAATGCAATTGGAATTTACTTTTAAACATATGACCTCATGTCCCACAGTATCCTTTAATAATACCCCACTTATCCCTATTGAACAAATTCGATACCTTGGACTTCACTTGGACAAACGTCTAACTTGGAATCCTCATACCAGACTGAAACGACAAGAAACCGCTTGACGTTTCCGACTACTCCAACACTTACTAGACAAACGCTCTAAGCTTCCAGTTAATTACAAAAGACATATACATGACTGCAATAAGACCTATTTGGACTTACGGAGTTGAGACATGGGGCTCCACTAAGCCATCGAATTCCTCGTATCCAATCCTTACAATCCAAAATCCTTCAGAAAATCCTCAATGCTCCTTACTTTTTCACCAATAAAATAACCCATAATGACCTTAATGTTCCTTATGTTTCCGATTTGGCCCAATCCAGATACCAATCCTTCCATAATAAACTTCAGAACCATCCGAATCCTCTCGTCTCTAACCTTGCTTCCTCTTCTATTCCTGATAACCCTCCGAGGCGTCTGAAAAGAAGATGGCCTCGAGATCTCCTAATGTAGACATATCATTAGAGTGCTACCATTGGGTAGTTAATCAAGAAATGTTTTCACGTCATTATATTCATATCTTCAAATTTACTAAATGTATTTCTTTAATACAGTTGTAAATATCATGAAGATAAAGCTGATAAATATCAGCTGATAAAGAAACGAAATCTATTATATAAATACCATAGAAGTTAACGAATTTATTTATATTCAAATTGTATGTGCACAAGTGTTGTACCTGGTAAGTTAGGATGCGATAACAAGACATTAATATTAGAAGTTTGGGCTGACAGTATTCACTAAAATTGAAAACAATATTTGCCTATAATTAGCATCTAATTATGAATAACAAAAAGATTATTGTTGAGGCGAATATTATTATCTCAAATTGCAAAATTTACTATTCATGTCACAACCGTTGCACAAGTGATCATTTTAATTTATAATGATGTAGAGATGGTTGACCGTGATATAATTTGTGAAGGAGTTGTTCAGGGGGAGGGGCGGTCAAATAAATACTAAACCTTAAAAAATAGTATTTTTAATGGTTATGCCGACGTTTCGACCCACCTTGCAGGTCTTCATCAGGTCTACAAAATATACAAAATAAAATCAATGAATAATAAGTAGATATTAGTAAAAGAAACAGTTGTCTGATAAAGAAATAATAAGATGACATCAGAGATATAGTGGGTGATAATGTAGTTAAAATATCAAGTATTATATATATATATATATATTGATACAAATCTGTTAACTTACAGTTATCAAATGTAATCTTTACCAGTTTGTTATAAACTGATTTCTTATTTTTTATCACTATCTGTTTACTTTCAACTTACATGCTATATTCTATGTTTTCTATTTTTATTCAAACTTATTTATTTTTATTTTTTTTGTATCTTCTATATATGTAATACTTGATATTTTAACTTCACTGTCACCCACTTTATCTCTCATGTCATCTTATTATTTCTTTATCAGACAACTGTTTCTTATTTAATATCTACTTGTAATTCATTCATTTTATTTTCACCAAGTACCTTTTATATTTTGTATCTTTTGTAGCCCTGACAAAGACCTGAAAGGTGGGTCGAAACATCGTCACAACCATTAAAAATACTTTTTTTTTTAAAGATTTAGTACTTATTTGACCGCACCCTCCGACCTACTCCTTCTCATTTTGATTTATTTATTAGCGATTTGATAGTCGAACTATTACTCTTTGTAATGAAATCGCTAACAACACTAATTTTTAGACATCAGAGATCCATCAGGCCTTTCCTAAACTAATCAATGCATCCATAAATAGTTTCAGCGCATTATTTTATCCATCAATTGAATCAGCTATATTTAATCGGCCCGATGAATATCTCATTACAACCTCAGGGGTGTTATTTCTCAATTTACTTTATATATATTCAGTTTACTTTCTATCTGTATTTATTTGTTTTGAAACATTACAATCCAGTAGGTAAATATTTCCTTATATATTCTCTTTTTTTAAGTGTTTGGTAACTTTCCACTTGAATCCAGCTCGTCGTTCCTAATTCTGCATAATTCTATCTGTGATAAATTCAATCAATTGATAAATTGCTCTGATGGAATTAGCGCTGAGCTTAGGATCTCATACCAACAGACATAGGGGGGAAGGGGGGGGGGGCGAGAGGATCAATTGCTCCCCAAATGAAAAGGTTGAGGAGAATATCGTTTCGCTCCCATAATAATTGGAAGTAAAAAAAAAATAATAATAATAAAATAAATAAAAAATAAGATACATGAATGAATAAAATGTGTAAACTAAAATCGATTAAGAAAAGTCGATAAACTGGCTAAGCTAGGGCCTAGTTGTAGGTATATAACTAATTTATTAATACCTAAATGTTACTTTATTTAAATTGTAATTTGTATTCTGGTCCAATTTTCATTTGAAGTATCATTTCTCAATATCTTAAAAACTTTGTACCTCCTGTCATGATTTGATCATTATTAACAAAGTCATGGAAGCTACTATTATAAATTTGATTGATTGTTTTGAAGTAACTTGTACCTGTTTCTTAAACTAAGTAAAAAGCTTTAAGTTAGAAGTAAATGCCTTTAAGCTGTGGAAATATGTCTAAAAAACATTTTCGCTAATATGATCAAAAAAGATATATTGAACATTTCAACTTTGTCTTACGCCTGCAAAAAAAAAAAAAAAAAACAACCGAAAATATAACTATCATAAAATAAAAATTATGCATTTGTTCGTATACTGAATATTTTTAGTTTTTGTTCATACATGCTTTTGCATTGTGGCTGTCGTTATATCAACATATTGTGCAATTATACTTGCTGTCAGTCTGTTTTACTCCTCTATTTTCTGGTTTGTAAGTTGCTCTAAATTGAAATAGCAATATATATATATATATATATATATATATATATATATATATTTTCTTTATATAAGTCAACAGTAGCTTAATATATGTGGTGGTGGACGGTTCTGAGACTGTCGGTGTGTCCCTTACCTGAGGTATCGAAGTTCTATTTTTAAAACTTTGAAGAGGATCCCATTGTTAACCTATAAAAAGAACTTATTCCGATTAAGGGAAAGTAACTTATTCCCAATTAAATGGTTATGTTTATATGTATATATATATATATATATATGCTTTTGTTTTGAATACCGAAGTTGAATTTCTCGATTTTTAGATAACACTGTCAAATTTCTATTTATTTTAACATATTGAAATTATACGGTACTCAGATTCAGCATTCGATCCAACTTATGGAGGTTTTTGAAATACTGTCCATACTGTCAAAGATCGCATGTAAACTTGTAATCATAAATTATCAGCGTTTTCGTATAAAGGGCCTTAGATTATATTATAACGTACCCTAATATGTTAATCCGTGGTACAGACCCCTTTTTATCGAATTATTAACATGCACCTGAAACTTCGTAAATAGTATCATGTCATCGTAACCTACACCTATTTTATTTACGAAAAATCTTGGAATTGGGACGTTTATAATCTGGTGGGGGGAGGGCAAACTTTGTTTGTTTAATTAGGTACTAAAAACTCGTTAATGCACATTTGCTTCCTACTTAGATCGTATGATGATTTGATAACAAAATCGAGAAAAAATGTGACCTTCAAAAATATTGAGGCGTTTGCCGAGACCTACACCCCCAAAATTTAAAAAAAACGAGGTTACAACGTCCCATATTTTCATACAAACGTCCCAATATTTTTCTAGGCCACCTTTTTCACCGATTTTGTGATAAAATTATGTTACGATCCAAGTAGAAAGCAAATGGGTATTTACTAGTTTTTAGTACCCAATTAAATAGACAAAGTTTGTCCCCCTCCTGATTGAAAACGCTTCAATTTCAAGAATTTTCGTAAATAAAATAGTTGTAAGTTACGATGAGATGAAACTATTTTCGAAGTTTCAGGCGGATGTTAATAGTTCGATAAAAAGAGGTCTGTACCATGGACTATATCGATTAAAAAAGTCATTATAAACCGATACGCGAGGGCGCTTTAAAAAAATCGATAATATTTTCATGAAAACTTCATCGATAACACATAATTCAGCGACCTCTCAATATTTAAAAAAAATCGATAACCTAATGATTATTTTTCAAAACTATGAATGTATTATTTGTATAAATATGGCAACAATCAGTTCAATTGTAAAAGTGCCATTAAAAATACTTAAAGTTTTTCTTATATTGAAGTAGTCCGCTAATATAGAAAGATCACTCCAATTACAGGAGGGATTAAACTTTGACCATCGTTTAATGAAAGCTTAGTTTTTGCCTCTTATATCACTTAGCTTCTAGGGACCTTTTTTAAAATTAGCGATTTTTGATTTACGTTAGATCTTTGGCTTTGCTGATAATAATTTTTAAAAAAATATTAATTTCGCTTTACCACTGGAACCACTATGTTCCTCTGAGCTGGAGGATGAATCAGCTGAGGCAAGCGCTAGTGACGCCAAACACGCAAAGAGGGTTGATATCCTCATCTTGAACTACTGAGGAATATCTCGTCATAGGGAACGCTTATGTACCTTTGCTACACCTGTGCTAACATAGTTCATAAACAAACTAATAACCAATGAAAAGACATCATAAGCTATTTAAATGTGAAAAAGCAATTAGCAATTATCAATGTCTGGATCCTTAACCGAAAAACTGTCTGCAAAATGGCGGATCAAGAAATCTGGCGGAAGAATTTTCTTCAACTTGTGTAATAAATCGTTCTAGGAAAACTCTTATTAAAAAATAAATAAATAAAGGAAAAAGCTACTCCTACTCCTCGACAAGTCTTCTTCAGGTAGTTCGGTCTTTTGCCGCCGCGTGCCAGTTGGAGATGTTGAGTAGGTTGCGGACATCTCTGACAACAGTGTTCTCAATGGGCGGATCTTCGGGGGAAAGAGTGTGACGGACTGAAGTCCCCCTCCCCCCCAAAAATGGTAAAATATATCTATGCTTTATGAAAAAAATTATATCTGAAAGTATTATTATTATTAAGATCCTAGTATTCCAATTCCTGTCCCAAAAACAGTCAGATACCTGCTAACCTTTTATGTTAAATTACATATTATTCATAATAATGTATTTATATATAGCTCGACAAACGCTCTAACCTTCCAATCAATTATAAAAGACTGATTTACATGACTATAATAAGGCCTATTTGGACTTACGGGGTTGAGCTATGGGGCTCCACCAAGCCTTCAAATTCCTCTCGCATACAGTCCTTGCAATCCAAAATCCTTCGTAAAATCCTCAATGCTCCTTACTTTGTTACAAATAAAATTATCCATAATGACCTTAATGTTCCTTATGTATCAGATTTGGTCCAATCCAGATATCTGTCCTTTCATAATAAACTTCATAACCATCCCAATCCTCTTGTCTCTAACCTTGCTTCCTATTCGATTCCTGATAACCCTCCGAGGCGTCTGAAAAGAAGATGGCCACGTGATCTTCTAATATAGACATATTATTAGAGTGCTACCAATGGGTAGTTTCTCAACATGTGTTCCATGTCTTTATACCAATGTGCAAATTTACTAGATGTATTTTTTGTATACAGTTGTAAATATCATTTAAAATAAATAAATAAAAAAATATATAGCTCATCACTTAAATACTTATTATCAGATTCGACTTTCTTTTTTTTTTCAATAGAAACACAGTTTACTGTTAAGAAAAATATAATGTATTTTTTAATTTTTCTAGGTGTATATTTATATTTTACCATTGTACATAATTTTAAGTGTCTTGGTAAGGTTTCAAGAGTTTTTTATATAGATTTTTTAAAATTTTGTTTATAGTATGTATAACTTTTTTTTTTTTTTTAATTAAAATACTTATTTATTGAAAAATATTACAATCTGTCTCTAGGACATTCATAATAGAGTTCACAGATCACATTTACACTCTATGTACAATAAATAAAATAAATTATACAGAAAAATAATATATATACAATAAATAAGAATAAAATAACCTAAAAATAAACAAATGAAAAGAACACATACACACCTATATACAATAAAGTATGTAACTAATATTTTCTTTACTTTTTATGTTTGTTTTTATTTGGCCAGATATAACATTTTAATTTTGTACTTTTTTTTGTTATTCTGAAGGGACTTCGTCCCAGAATAAAATTATTTTCTATTCTATTCTATTCTATTATTGTTCGTCTAATTACATTTTATAGGACTTTAGTTAGGATTACAGTTAAAGACCATTTCATATAGGTTGTTAGTTTATTTTTTCTTCCGAAGAAATTATTCTGATATATTTATATAAAAAAAAAATTTGGGCTGAAGCTCCCCCAAAAAATTAAATCCTGAATGCGTTAGTGGTGTCCTCCCATCTGAGACAATGCCTTCTATTCCTCTTCTTCTTATTCGGTGAAGCCTCTCATCCAGCAGTTTCCTGGGCATTTCCACTTCCGACAACGTGGCCAGCTTACCGCATTTTTATCAACCTAATAAACCTAATCATTCTTCATCATAAAGTTGGTAAGTTTCGTTGTTTGTCCTCCGTCTTCAGTACTCTCCAATCCTTATTGGTCTAAATATTCGTCGGAGAATTTTTCTTTCAAAAATAATAATTTTGTCTCTAATCCATAAGTTAGAACAGGTCTTATAAGAGTCACTTAGTGCGGCGGGATAGGGAAGCACTTCTCAGATGCTTTCTGTAACCAAAATAGCACCTGTTGGCTAGTGTTGCCCAAAATCGGTCTTGGAATTACCCTTTGCAAGACCAAGACCAAGGCAGCCTAACTGTTGCAAGACTAAGACAGGTAAAAAAAAATAGATTTTTTAAAATAAAACTTAAGGCAAAATAGTTACTAATACTTGACAATCTTAGTTATTATATGTTATAATTGGTAAAACCAATATACTTTAGCATTTAACTCCTATAATTTTTCATTCAGGCTTAGTTAGGTTTCTCTCATCTAAAATATGTCAGTAATATCTTTATAGTAATAAGCTAATAAGTAACTGCAAGTCTGTTGCGAGATTCTTGCGCAAGACCAAGACCATGACCAAGAATGAGTTTTCAAGACCAAGACTCGTCTCGGTCTCGCATTTGGGCATCACTACTGTCGGCTTTTTTGAATCGCTGACTGGTTAAGGAAAAAAAACACATCATAAAAAAACTCGAAATTCCAGTGATCAAAGCGAATAATGATTATTAAAAATGGATTCTTTATTTCGGAAAGTTAATAATAGTCTGTGCCACTGACGTCTTTTTTCGAAATTATTAACATCCATTTAAAACTTTGTGAATAGCTTCATTTCATCGTAATCTACATTTATTTTATTTACGATAATACTATGAATTGGGGCGTTTTCAATCTTGAGATAGCCAAACGTTTTTTATTTAATTAGATACTCACATAATCGAGAAAAAAAATATTAGTCTATTTGGCCTAAATAACCTCGTTATTTGGGGGGTGGTCACGCCTTTTTCTCGAATTTGTACTCAAATTATCTTACGATTCAAGTGAAAAACAAATAGGTTTTTAGTATCTAATTAAATAGACAAAGTTTGCCAATCTCGAGATTGAAAACGCACCAATGCTGAGAATTTTCGTTATAAAAATATTTTTAGGTTAGAATGAGATGAAGCTACTTACAAAGTTTTAGACAGCTGTTAATAATTTGATAAAAAGGGGTCTATAAGACGGACGAATGAGTTTTGGCCATTTCTTTTATTATTAGATTGTCCGTTCCCTTATAATTTGTCCGTTCATTTCCTTTCCTTTTGAATGATAATCAGATCATAAAATCCGGACAAAAATGCGGTCTACAAATGCATTAGACCATTTTTTTTCACGAACAGGCCTTAAAGACCACGCGAATATCACGAAGTTAATGCTTCCTCTTCACTTACCTCCTCTTCTCCTATATGCCCCTCATGAGCTCCGCGTGCTTACGTTTTCTCTCCTCAGACCACGCAACACCCTTTTTGGAGCGCTTCTTGCCCGCAAGAACCGTTATTCTCTTGAGCGCCTTCCTGTACTCATCTCTGTCCAAACAATCTTGGTCTCTTAGCCCCACTTGGTCCATATCATCCTTAACCTGTTTAAAATGCTCGCTTAAATTCTTATGACTGTGGATGCGCTGAAAGCTTTTATGGTTAAGTCTTTCCTCATCATATGGACATAGAACCTCAGCCTTCCCACCCTAGCGTCAGTTTCTAGATCTGTTGTTTCCTTATATATTTCCTCATTTGACCTCAACCTGTATCCTTCAGGTGTTCTCCTAGGTCCGTAGATTCTTCTGAGACTTCTTCTTTCTATTTTCAGAAGGCTTTCTAGGCTGGGAAGACAAGAAGTTTCTGTTGCATAGAGTACCACTGGCTTGACGACCGTGTTATGTCATCTTTTTTTAGTTGTGATCACTGGTGGCGAAGCTTAATTTCTCTATTTTGGCGATTCTTTCCTTAAACCCTTCTCTCTCTGACCCATTGCTGCATATGATTTCTCCAAGGTATTTAAAACTCTGAGTTACTTTAATCGTTCCGTATTTGGTTCATTAGACCATTATACATTATAATATTAATAAAACTGTCTTTGGGCATACAGGTGATAAATAATATATGTCTTTTAAACTTTGCAGTAGCTCCATAGTTCCAGCTCATTAATATTGTTCTTGTCTATCGAAAACGTAGATTCTTCATTGGCCTGGACCTGAAGGAATTCGCCATCTTTAATTATAATTTATCTTGCTTCGATCGTTTTTTGTGTTAGTAAAGCGGATTTAGCCATTCCATCAAAAGTGTTGCAATTGTCTGCTATCGTAGTAAAGAATATTTAAAACAAGTATCTGTGCCTGGTCAATAAAAGGAAATTCCCTGAAATGTTTTTTTTTAAAGGTTCTGCTATAAAACTTGCATATTACGTTGAAGTCTGGAAGATTGTCTTTAAAAGAACAGCACATCCTGCTGGTGTTCAAATCACGGTTTAGGTAGTCCTTACTGCTTGAAAAATAGTTCAATTATAAGTTCAGTATCCAGAGGTGCCAATCTCCCCCAAGGTCTATGGCACAGAAACCTACCTCCCCCCTCACATGATATTTCATTGCTCATCTTTTCTTAAAAACAGAGCAGGGAAAGTAGAATTAGAAAAACAATAGATCATACAAAATTATACTTATTGCTGTTCAAGATTTTCCCCTTGCCCCTTATTCTGAAAAATTTCATTCCGAAAATTCGTAATCCCGTTAAAATATGCTCTCCTCAAAAAATTCAAAAACCCGTAAAAATATGCCCCCCTCAATACTTTTGATGGCACAACCTGCGCAATAAAACCACATTCTGGAAACCTCTGCATCTGCTTCTAAAAGATTTTTTGAGCCTGAGCACACAGCTTTTCTTTAAAGAATACCCACTCCATTTCTCCACTTACCACTTCATTCCGAATATAATAATAAACATGTTTTTAATACAAGTTTTCATCTAAATTTTCAATAGTCATGAATTTAATTATTTCAGCAAGCGAAAGTTTTGTGATGTACGCCGTACCAATTTTACTTTCACTTAGTATTGCGATCGTAGACATTTTTGAATCTGAGTTTTCAACTGAAAATGCACGTTTTAGGTCACCTGACACCAAATAACCAAGTCCCGAAAAATGGTCTGTGTGTATTTGAACAGTGTAGCTCAAAAACCAAAAGTCGTACGAAACTGATATTACGTATTTAAGATAGGTATATGCCTTAGATGTGGCAGCAACTTTTTCGTTAAAATCGGCTAACCGGAAGTGCCACTTTATATCAACGCTGAAACACATTTTCACAATTTTCTAAGAAGGTTTTTTAAAAGTTTATGGAATTTCTTAAAAAAAAAAAAAAAAAAAAAAAAAATCGTTAAGATTGGACAACTAGGAGGAAAGATATGATCTCTAATTTTTTTCCCTAAAGAGGCGAAAATTTGGATAAATTTAAAATATACTTTTTTAATTATTGAGACTAAAAAAACCTTTTTTCTACAGATATTTAATAAAGTATCTTTCCTAACAACATTTTTAATAAGAAATAAGTACCTAAATTTATACGTTTATTCTCAGTTCTATATTTCAACACTGCAATCACCACCTCCGGAATCAACTTACTCATATTCTGCATAGATAACTTTTTCAACTAAAAATATCACTAAAATGACATCACTTAAAAATATTGAAATTGGAGTATCAACGGTGAAACACATTTTTACAATTTTCTCAAAAACGGCTCTAACGATTTTGATTAAACTCGGTGTATCATTGTATAATTAAGTGGTATTTAATACGAATTAAGTCTTATCCTCATTGATGTCACTTTACAGAGCTTAAATTCCCACTGTCCATGCACGTCTTCCTCTAAAGTACGTTTAATATGGTTTATTTTAAATAATTAACTATCTCAGATTATTAAGAGTCACGAAAAAATCCTTATCCAGGGCGAAAATGAATCTTCGAAAATACTAGTCAGCAGGTATACGTATAATATATCGTTGGAAAGCGGATAATTTCAGAAAAAAACAGTATCTAATATAGAAAGTTGTAGAAAGTAATGGATAGTGGTGAAAAAATTATAAATAATAATTTTTGAAAACTAATATTATTTAACGTGAATCACATTTTTCAAGGAAATCAAGTGAAATTTACTAACTAAATTTAAACTTTTAAAATATTTTTAGCTTTGAAAAAGTATTTAAAAAACACATAATCAAAGCAACGACATGTGAAAGAAGAAGTGAAATATAAAAATATTTCATGGATATTTTTATAACCTTAAATATATTTACTGTAGTTTAATAACTCTAGATCTGATATTATATTCAAATAATTAGGTATCTATCGTCCGTTTATTTCGAAAAATCATCATGTAACCTTTTAGAAAATTAAATTATTGAATAATTTGATGAATTTTCACTTTGTGATATTCCGACAGTATCCACTTACAATCAGTTTGACAACTTTTAACCTGCCTATGACAGGCAATGCAAATCTCTTAATTCCATTTTAGTTAATTTTGCGATGGAAATTAACATTTAATAACTAATAGTCGTACAATCCATAATCAACCGGTGATATAATAAATAGGACTCTTGTTATTTTAATGCCATTTATGATTTGTTAGCTGTAAGCTTTTAGCTTTAACTCGGTTAAAATTTAATTCAAAAATTTTATAATAGTCCAATATGGCCAGAAAATAATTTCTATTCAATGTTGAGCGGTAAATGAAAGATGAGTGTTGCGCGCACCAGTTTTTTTTTTTTTAATGAAATTTACATAGACCGTTATTCTCAAAATCTAGTACAAAAATAATATAAAACAAGAAAATAATTTGCAGTATATTATAAAATGAAACTGTTCCTTTAAATAAATCCGGTAACAGATACAATAAACGTAAGTGAACTGAAATGTTAATGAACTCAAGGCGCCAGTAACGTAGATCGTTATTCAAATTATAATTCTCAAGATTCAATGAGAACTGAAACACCCTATATAACCATCCTTCAAGGTATTCATCGCGTACATTTTTTCTCCTTTTATTCAATAAAATCAAATAAAAAATATTCAAAAGGTCTTAGCAGCAACTTCATACGTCTGAGCTGGATTCGTTTTGATATAGTTCCGTTTTGGTGTTGTCACATATAATGTAAATTAAATGCATTTTAAAATCTTGTTTTTCTGTTAATTCATGTGGTTCTTCTTTGGTTTCATAAAGGAACGCAATTCTATTTTCTCAAATCTCAACCCTGAAAAGTCAGTTACCTATTGAATAAATTAAACTGTGTGTCGGATTAATTGTTTCTTAATTTACTGATAATCACGTATGTAGATAAATGTTTAACAAGTTATATTCATTAACAAATTAAATAAATATGTCGACAACCACATTGCAAGTTGGTGAGTTCAAAAACTAATTTATGAGTTTAAATAAACTGCATATTTTTTATTTTATGAGCTAGATTTTGATTGGATGCTTAAGACAAAATGTAATGTGTTAAATAAAGTTTTTGGTTTATATTTCTGAATATGTAGGATTGGCTTGAACAAATCAAAACTGTATTTTCTTATAAAATTGTAAATATGCGGGTTTTTGTTGCGGTGGTTGTCGATATGTTGTATAATTATAAATTAAATGTACATGATCCCTGTAGAACAAATCCGATACCTAGGACTCCAGCTGGACAAACGTCTCACTTGGAATCCTCATACAAGACTGAAACGACAAGAAACTGCTCGACGTTTCCGCTTACTGCAGCACTTACTGGACAAACGCTCTAAACTTCCAATGAATTACAAACGCCTCATATACATGACTATAATAAGACCTATTTGGACTTTTGGAGTTGAGCTGTGAGGCTCCACTAAACCATCAAATTCCTCTCGTATCCAATCTTTACAATCCAAAATCCTTCGTAAAATCCTCAATGCTCCTTACTTTGTCACAAATAAAATAATCCATAAAGACCTCAATGTTCCATATGTTTCCGATTTGGCCAAATCCAGATACCTATCCTTCCATAATAAACTTCATAACCATCTGAATCCTCTTGTTTCTAACCTTGCTTCCTCTTCGATTCCTGATAACCCTCCGAGGCGTCTGAAAAGGAGATGGCCTCGTGATCTCATGTAGACAAATTATTAGAGTGCTACCAATGGGTAGTTTCTCAACAAGCGTGTTTCATGTGATAATATTCCTATGTACACATTTACTTGATGTATTCATACTAATACAGTTGTAAATATCATAATAAAAGTTAAAAAAAAAAAAATTATTATTTTATTATTAAATTATTGAAATTATTTTATTTTGATATAAACTTTCTATTACGAACTTTAGATTCTATCTGCCTGTACATGTTCGAACATTGCACTTCGTAACAATTATTTATGTCATTTAAAAGATGTTTATTGGGTTATTATTTAGAGGAAGAACACTGGGTTACTCGGGTTACTCATGGTTCACAATCACTTCGATCACACTTGTTCATGGAGTACCAAATGCAAATTGGTTGTCATCCAATGAGGATTTGTTTATCTTTTGTTGAGAGTATAGCTAGCATTTTTATCTAATTAAGACATTAATGATATATATAATTACTAATAATGCCAACTAACCTAACAAGATTAAAAAAAAGTAATAAACGAAGGATGTACACATTTTCTAGTTCTGTCTCGTTTTAATGAACAACAATTGTGAATTTGGTTGACTTCTTAATACATTTACCTATTATACAAACAATTCTAAGGAATGATTACTTCATAACTTCAAGGAAATCCTGCTGTAATTCCTGTTACTTTGTTATCTGTTGAATTTACAGCAAAATGGATTCTAATATCTATTTATGCCATTAAAATATTTTTTAGTTTAAAAAAACTGGACTAATACCCCTATCAATACAATAAAAAAATCATGGGATTTGGACAAAATAACAAAATGTAGTAGTACTTAAATTTAAGACATTTTAATTACAGTATATATAATTTTTTTAAATCAGCTTTTATACATATAATATTATTAATTGAAAAGAAAAGTCTTAGAAAGCAGTTTGGCACAATCTCAGTGCCCTCAGGAGTGGAGATTGAGATCCATCACACGGCCCTTGCTGAGGTTGACCATACACTGGTTGGAGTGGTTGCGGTTGACCATATACAGGCTGCAGAGGCTGAGGTTGACTGTACACAGGCTGGAGGGGAAGAGGTTGACTGTACACAGGCTGGAGGGGAAGAGGTTGGCTATACACAGATTGGAATGGTTGAGGTTGACCATAAGAAGGTTGGAATGGACTTGGTTGGACAGGGTACTGAGGTTGGTAAGGTCTTGGTCCATTGATGGTAATGAAAATATTTTGATTGCAGGGTTTGAGATTGGGCTGCGATGGTGGATACGGGACAACAATAGTCTGTGGTGGTTGCCCATCGCCGTTAGGAATAGTAACAACAATGTCTTTTTGAGAAGAGGGAGCTTCTTCAGGGACAGGTATGATGACCACTTTAGGACTGCCTGAACATTGAGTGGGAGGTACACTTACTACTATGTCCTTTTGGCTTGAACCAGGTTGTGGGTACTTGATGGATATCTTGCCAGGTTGGTAGCTCCCCTTAGGAGGAGGGAACGGAATGGCGATCTGCTGAGGAGATGAGGACGCATCGTCAGGAGGCAAAGCGACAATAATGTTCTGAGGTTTAGAACTGTCAGCTCCAGGTGGTATTGGTATGGTTACTTCCTGGCAGTTTCCTTGACCATCGACTGGTTTAGTGGTAATAGTGATCAATTGTGGGTATTCGCCTGGAGCTGGATATGTTACAATTATGATTTTTGGTTTAGATGGTTTAGGTTTTGGTGCTTCTATTTCAACCACAATTGGTGCTTCAGTGGCAGGAGTCTCCGGCTCTGCGATAGTAATTGGTTCCTGTGTTGTTACTGGTTCCACTTCTGTTACTGGTTCTTCTATTATTACTGGTTCCTCTTCTGTTACTGGTTCCACTTCTGTTACTGGTTCTTCTTCAGTTACTGGTTCCTCCTCTGTCACTGGTTCCTCTTCAGTTATTGGTTCCTCTTCTGTTACTGGTTCCTCTGTCGTAATGGGTTCCTCTGTTGTTGTTGGTTCTTCTGTCGTAAACGGTTCCTGTGTGGTTACTGGTTCCTCTGTTGTTGTTGGTTCTTCTGTTGTAATGGGTTCCTGTGTGGTTACTGGTTCCTCTGTGGTTGTTGGTTCTTCTGTTGTTACTGGTGCCTCTGTAGTGGTTGGCTGCTCGATAGTAGTTGGTTCCTCGATTGCTACAGGTTCTTCTATAAATAATGAACTTTTTTTTAATACAATGACTTTATAATCAAACGTATAAAATGATATAAAATCATCTAATATAAAATATTTCTATCAATTAAAAAATTGTATTCTTCAAATAAAACAACAGAAAACTGATTATGTTCCTAAACTGTTTTGAAAAGTTAAATCTGAATGTGGAAAAAACAAAAAAAAAAAACAAAAAAAAAAACAGAGTGACTGATAGGTCTTTATTTTAGGATAATCACCATACTGAATCCAAATGATTCAATTAGCTCTTTGAAACTAATGTACGTGACTTTAATTTCATTTTAAGTCCCATAAAATAAAACTTCACTTAACCACAATAGCAAATTAGTACACTATTATAGAATATGTCATTGGGCCCTTGTTTACTATTAGTACATGCTGCTTGAACAGTGTTGCTATATATATACTTCTTTATTTTTTTTTAGTATAATTTTTGTCACAGAATCTATGTTATTTTTTCAGAGAGAAGAATTAGTTATAGTTTTTGGAGGGAGGTGGAACCCCAAACTTACTAGAGTTTTCAATTTTTTTTTTTTTTTAATCCAACCCTCAAGCAATTTAGTTGTTGTTTCTTTATTTTAGTTATTTAAATAAAATAAAAAATAACTACACTTTATAGATTATAAAACAAATAATGAGTAGTTTAAAAAAATTTTACCTTCTGGTTCTGGTCTATCAGGAATTTCTAGAAAAAAAAACAATAATTAATAAAAACAATGAAGACAACATATTAAATATCAATACATATATATATATATATATATATATATATATATATATATATATATATATATATATATATATATATATATATATATATATTTTAGTTGACATTGAATTTTTTTATATGTAATTCGGAAACTGTAAACGGAAATTAGAACAAAAAAAAACCGGCGAAGTACAATATTTACACACTTGATTTCTGGAGTTCTATTTTATTTGATTTAAAATAATTTTATTTTGAAAAGTAACAATTTAAAATAAACATAAAAAAAATTAATACAAAAATGTCTGTCTTATGTGGTGACTTATGCAAGTTTATTTATTTTTCCTGGCATCATACAGGAAAAAACAGTTCTATTTTGTACCATAATTATAGTTATTAATTATAAATGATTAGTTGGTTTAACATAAATTTAACAGATTTTTTTCAAACTTTAATCTGTGCCTACAAACTAATAGTAGACATTTAATACCATTAAACAACAGTATGTGAATATCTCAACACCAGAGAACTTAATTAAATTCAGTACAAGACTACAACTACTGCAGCTATTTGGCAAGTATAGATGATTAGAATTCATACTAAGGGGGGGGAGGAGGGGTATAAAACAAAAAAAAATATTTGTGGACTGATGGTTGACTGTATTGAATAATTGAAGAGAATGATGGTTGTTGGGGTGATCAGTCAAAATAAAAATATTAAAAATAAATAATTATATTTATTTTTATATTTGCCGATGTTTCCGCCCGAAGTTCTGGCCTTCATCAGGGCTATGAAAAAAACACTTAACAATAGGTATGAGAAACTATAAACATTGAAAATAAAGAATTAAAATTAAAAAAGTGAAAGGTACAGACTCAAAAAATGTAGGTAGAATAAACTTAAAGTAAAATAAAGTAGGTAGAATATTAAAATTATATAATAGAATAAAATAAGAGAGAACTAAAAAATAAATGATGACAGCTGCAAAGTAATGGACTAGTGAAATAAACATATTCAAAATAAAGTAACATAAGAAATGAAAAATGGTAATCTTAGAATAAAGTTTTTTCTAAGATTACAATTTTTCATTCTAGAATAAAGTTTATTATATGATTACCTTTTAGGCCGTAAGAAGTTGCAACGGCTGCTATAGATAGAATCTTGACCTGCTCTGGAACTGGATGAGTGATATCAGCGCCAACAACAATGGCAGGTTTTTGGAGAAATTTTGGCCAATATCTGTTGGTTGATGCCGTTCAACTTTGCATTAACTTTCTGTAGAATGTTTACGAATGTTACAGCATTAAGTCTTCTCTACACTGTGACAGTCTTCAAGCACTGAGTTAGAATACCAACCTGAATTTCAGCAATTTTCTTAATGGATGCATAAGTCATTTCCCTATCAATAAGACAACAATCACAAGTTTCACTTCTTCTTTAATACATTGACTAAAATATTGTTCAAGTTCACGAGGAGTATTCTTTGAAACAATTTTGTAATTATTGGATATAGTCATGCCACATTCCATTCCATGATTTATTAAATCTAATGCAAGCTTTCTTAAATATGGTTCTCTAATCATCTGATTAGTAGTAACGATTCTCCACTGAACCAAAGCTTTCTTGAATGAATTTTTCATTCCTCCATACCATTTGTCTCACAAGTACCGGTCTTTCACGATAATCAAGAATTGGATCTCTGTTAAAGTTGATTTGTCTAATCGACTTGACAATTTTTCTTTTCTCGTTTCTTTATCAACTACAGCAGGGAATCCTTTGTGAGCCACATCAATGTTAAGGAATGGTTTCCAACCAATAATTGCAGACTGGAAGAAACCATAACAAAGGTAGGATCAAAACCAAGATCAATTACTCTACCAAGTGGAGGTGAAAAGAATGATCTTCCAACATTCACAAACCTGTTAGCAGCTGATTGCCTTAAGAAAATGTCAAGAGCTTGGATTGCCTCTTGCGGACCATTAGTTAAAGTCCCGGACCCGCAGGTAATCCCATATCATTGAGACATTAATTTGTGGATAATACTTTATCGTAACGGTAATTAATTTTTTTGATCTCTTTCATTATCATAAATCGTCACTGTCTCGATAAGTTCCGATTTTTGGACAGGCAACTCAGGATAACTAGAGGTTCTTCTTTCCATCATGAGCTGGAAATCGATTTTTGGAAAACCCCCGTCATACAGCTTCCACAGCTTGTCTGTAATTGCAATAAGGTTTTTAAGTATTGATAAATACATCATAATGATGAATAACCATATTATTATTCTTTATATTTAAATTGAGATGATTAGTTTCCACAACAATTTCTTAAAAGAATTACAGATTGATGCGCTCATCAATTTGTAATTATTTTCAGACCTTTCTTGATTGTAATTTTAATTTATTCTAAAGAAAGTTCTTTAGCAGAAAAAATGAAAAGTTTAGGTATCAAATCATCATCATACATTCCCCCAAACGAGAAGAGCCGCTTCCAGATCCAAAAAAAGGAAGAGAAATTTTTGTCTTACCTGATAGGGGAATGACTTATGCATCCATTAAGAAAATTGCTGAAATTCAGGTTGGTATTCTAACTCAGTGCTTGAAGACTGTCATAGTGCATAGAAGACTTAATGCTGCAACATTCGTAAACATACTACAGAAAGTTAATGCAAAGTTGAACGGTATCAACCACCATATAACCAACAGATATTGGCCAAAATTTGTCCAAAAACCTGTCATTGCTGTTGGCGCTGATGTCACTCATCCTGCTCCAGACCAGGTCAACGTGCTATCTAAGATTACCATTTTTCATTTCTTATGTTACCTTATTTTGATTACATTTATTTCATTAGTCTGTACTTTGTTGTGGTTATTATTATTTACTTATTAGTTCTCTGTTTCTGTTATTATTCTACCTGCTTTATTTGACTTTAATGTTCACTTTATCTACTTTACTTTACTTTAAGTTTATTCAACCTACATTTTTTAGTCTATACCTTTCATCACTTTAATTTTAATTCTTTACTATTCAATGGTTTCTCATACCTATTGTTATCTGTTTTTTTTTCTTAGCCCTGATGAAGGACAGAAACTTCGGCAAATATAAAAATAAATATAATTATTTATTTTTACTATATTTATTTTGACTGATCACCCAAACCATCCTTCTCTTCAAACAAAAATATTATTGAACATCTTTAAATTAGTTATAAAACACTTTATTAGTAAATTAGTTTATATTTTATAAAACACTTGATTTAAATAATTTATGTAATCAATTAAAGAAAAAGATTGTTTCGTTTCATAAGAGTTGTTTTGTTAATATTCAGAGTTTAAAAAATTGATTCATTATTAAACTTCGAATGAACCACCACAGTTTCTCAAAACTACTGTCCTATAGAGTAAATATGAATGATGAGAATTAAAATTTTTTATTTTGACTTATTTTTTGATAAATACCTTTCAGACAAATGTAGTCAATTTTGACATATTTGTAAGTGCCCTTGCATGGATCAGTAAACCAACCATTAGAAGATGACAAGTCGCAATAGGTTTTTCCTTCACATCTGGAATTAAAAAATATAATTTAAATTAGTGTGGAGAATTTTATGGAAAAACTACAAAAATCATGTTATTACTTACTTTTCTCTGACAATAGGCAATGTAGTGGCTGCTTTGCAGTTGGTATTCGACATCTTACCCTCTTTTGGGCAAGTTGTCAAATCAGTTCTTCCGTAGAAGGCATCTTCTACGACGATTATGGTACCTTCAGGACAAGCCATGTGCTTTTTGTCATGTTCGCATATGGTTAGTTCCTGCAAGACATTTGGAGGAGCTGCAATACAAGTTATGGTTTTTTATTAATAAATTAACTTTTTGCATGCTTATACTACGAAATTTCTAATTTATTAAATTAAAATGTTTAAGATAAGAAGGTACCTTGGGTAGTCTGAGGTGCGATTGTAGTTACTGGTGTTGATGGTGGTTTTGCTAAAAAATAAAAATATAAAATACAATTTTTAATATACAGTTGATGATTAGTAAGAATGATGTTTGATGTTTTTTCTTTTTCTTTTTATTATTGTATGTAAGGAATTTCAATCCATACATTCTTTTTTAACATTTTTTTTTATTTAACTATAATTAACTTTTTTTCTATTTATATATACAAGTAAAGTTTTTTTATGAAATGAAGTTATTTTATCTCTTTTTCGTTCTTCATCTCTCAAAGTGTATGTTTATGTTGTTCAACCCTTTTATATATTTTTGTTCATAGTTTCAAGTGATTCGTTCATAGTTTTCAGTGTTTTGTTCATAGTTTTAAATACTCTGTACATAGTTTTATCTGTATTGTATATAGCTTGTTCACCTAAGGTTTTCTTTACTTTTTCATTTATTTTATCAATTTTATTTATTGTTTCAGACTTTTAGGCCAGTAATATTCTATTCTTTTGTACAATTTTGTTATTCTAAAGGGACTTCGTCCCAGAATAAAGTTTTTTTTCTATCTATCTATCTATGTAGCCATGCTTCCCAGGTTATTACCCTACACCGCTCTTTCTGGCATAAGGAGGGGTTGTTCTAGAGGTACAACCAAACCTATTCTTATTAGAGTGGAAAGATCGAGATTTATTATTTATGTTTTGTTTATAAAATGTATATACAATTTATTAATATTAGTAATTAATACATTTTTGTGGACTTCCCACAGTTGCACGAGATTGTAGATAGGAAAAGACTTGAAATCTATGGTAGATGTAGGCACACCCAAAAAACTAGTCATCCTAAACAAAATGATGCTAATGAAGACTACCTGTCGAGTGAAACTTGGAAATTCACTGTTTGAAGAATTTGAGGTGGATAATGGATTGAGAAAGGGTGATCCTCTATCTCCCCATCTTTTTAATCTAGCCCTGGAAGTTGTTATACGTTCTATTATAATAAATCCAGTAAGAACTATCTACAATCATCTATCTTAACATAAGGCAAATGCTTATGTTGTCATCACCTCTAGAACCCAGCATGAATATTCCAAGAATTCTAAGAGGCAGTTGCTAAACTGGGCCTTAAAGTTAATGAAAATAAGATGGGGTACATGAAAAGTTCAAGAAAGGAAATAAATAGGAGAAAAAATTTAAGAGTTCACAACTTTAAGTCTGTAAACCAGTTCAAGTAGCTGAGAAGCATGGCTACATACAATAACAAAGTAGAGAGTGAAATAAAGGCCAGGATAACAACAGGGATTTGCAATTTGAAATTCACTCTTTAAAAGAATCAAAATTCTTATCTACGAAACTATAGTAAGGCCAGTGGTTATGTATGAGTGTGAGACATGGACCTTAACCAAAAACTCAGAACGCATGCTCAACTCTGGGGACAGAAAAAGTATTGAGAAGAAAAAGGGGTGGAGTCGGTAAGAATGGGATTTGGAGAAGAAACAGGAATGAGGAACTGTGTGAACTGTTCGGGGAACCCGACATTGTGGCATTGGTAAAAAGAGCCTGAATAAGACGGATAGCTTTGTGGAATGCCAGTTGTGAATGAATGCCACAGAGGATGCTCTATGAGAAGCCAGATTGCAGAAGAAGTAGAGGACACGCTCGAATCAGATGGCTGAAAAAAGTGTAGGATGTTCTGAGGCGGCTGGGTGTTCGAAGATGGAAGGAGATAGCTCAGTTCTGTGGAAATTAGTTGGGTGTTGTGGGGAAGGCTCGGATTCTGGAGTGCCATTATAATAAATAATTAATTTGTCATAAAATCTTTCTCAACAAAAAAAAATTATTACAAATGAAAAAAAAAAAAAACCTTTACCACTATAACCCATGAAGGGTCTTGGGCCTAGTACTATTTAGGGGAAGTACTATTTCTAAGTCAATGGTTGTGCAAGGAGGTGATTTGAATGAGATTATGCTCAAACCACCAGGTTTTTCCCTTAATTTATTATTTACTTAAGTTTACCGAATTTATAGAAGCTGGGTCTGCCCCAGGAAGGTTTCCTGACCCCAGGGTCACCTCACGCCTGATAAATAATTTTTCTGCCATTAATTGGGATTCGAACCTGGGACATTGAGCATTGGAAGATCACTGAGTTAGCCGACTCCTTGTAAATAAAAAAAAAATCAATTAAATTGCATACAAATAAAAAAGAACACCCTTAATTTAAAAAAAAAAAAATAAAATATTGCTCTCTCTTTTGGGACATGTTCTTTTTTTATTTTTTATGAACTGGCTACCTCCCTGCTTGCAAATATGACTTACGGATTCTTGTGTCTAGTGGGTACTACAACAGTACTAAGTATAAGTTGAAAATACCAGCAGTTAAAAAAAATATATAATTTTTTAAATATTTAATTTCCAAAAAATTCGGTTAAAAATATGACTTACGTCTCCTTGTGGTAGTGATCACTGTTGTTGTGGTTTCTTGTTTAAGTAATATAGGTTCTGAAAAAATAAAATTAAAGAAAATATCTTTTTTTTGTGGTGTAATTTTATTTTTCTAGATTGCAATAGCTGCATTATTTATAATAAGGTAATATAAATTTCAAGCTCTCAAAAGCGATGGATTTTGATTGTTTCAAAACTCAAGTGATTTCAAAAGATGATGGATTGAGAAGAGATAAATTTTTAGGAAGAAGAATTCCTTATAGTCTTTTGGGGTTAGGAAGAACTTCAAACTTTAAGGTTATAATTTTTTTTTTAATCCAGTACTCAACCATTTTCATTTTTTAAAATGAAAGAGTTAACCATTTTTAATTTTGCCACATCACTTTTATTCTTATCAAAATTGTAGGAATAAATCTAACTTTTTAAAAAATATTTCCAGGAGGATTGTTGTATTCACCTGGATGTAAGAAAATTTAGTTTTTCAATAAAAATATTCATAGACCATATTTTTGGCCTTATTTCCTTAGTAGTAAATAGCTACAATTTTTAGTTCTTAAAAGTGTTTAGTTTAGTTTAGAATTCTTAAAAAGTAGTTATGTTTTCTTTACCTTCTGGTCCTTGCCTCTCAGGAATTTCTAGATAAAAAAAAATCAATAATTAACAAAAATAATAACTACAAGATGTCAGTGCATTAATATTTAGTTTACTTTTCTTTTATTTTTTAAGATTATTTAATTCTTAAAGGCCCATTTAAATGGTTCCCATATTTTATTAATCTAAATGTATATAGTTAAACACAAGTTAAACATACATGAATTTTACATTTTTGATTAACAGAAAAATAAGTATAGTGTTGTTTCTAGCTTGTGTTGTTTATTTCATTTGGTTTTAATTATTTTTATTATAATAAGTAACAAGTTAAAGTATAAAAACAATTAAAAAAAAAAATTAAAATGTGAATATCTGTTAAGTCTTCAAGCAATAACTTTGGGGCAGCTTAAACAAGTTGTTTTTACTTCATTTCCTGGCATCATACAGTAAAAAAAAGTTCTATTGTCCACCATAATCAATTAGTTTTATTTTTCAAATAATAACTTTGACATGATAGTAAAAGCCTAACTTCCAAGGAAGCTATATGTCAGTAAAGAGTATCTAAATGTCAACACTACTGAACTTGATTAATTAAGTTCAGTATAAGACTTCAATTTAGTCTGTTAGATAAAAATAGAAAATAAATAATTATATTATAAGTATTTGTTTGAACTGGGATTTAATAAGCTGTTTATTTTTTTTGTTTTTATGAAGTATCTAGTACAGCTATGTGGAAAATATGGATGATTGGAATATATAGTAATTGGTAATTAAAAATAAAACTAAAAACTAAAAATGAGTGTCTTTTGAAGCATTTAATTTAAGCATTTTTAAATTAATAAAATAGTATTTGATTTCAATATAGGAGTACTGAGGGAGCGGTGTAGTTCAGTGGGTTTGGCACTGACCTCCAAAGCTCAAGATCCCAGGGAGGCTCGAGTTCGGTTGATGGCAGATAAATTGTTAATTCTGCTTCATCATGATCGACCCCGAAATCAGGAGACCCTTTTGGGGCCTACTCAGTCTCTATAAAATGGTTACTCTTAATTAATTAAGGGTAAAACCTGGCAGTTGAGCATGGTATTGGTCAAATCATCCCCTTGCACAACTGTTGGCACAGAAACAGTACATTGTAACATAGTACTGTAGTGGTACTTGTTTATGTACTGCCATATCATCTTTAGTGCTATGATTTTTAAATATGTTATAAAGCACTTCATTTAAATAATTTATTAAATCAATTAAAGAAATAGTTTGGTTTCATTGGATAAGAGTTGTGATAATATTCAGGGTTTACAAAATTTAAAGCATCATTAAAATAGTTTCTCAAACCTACTAAAATTTAGTATTAAATAATTAATACAAATAAAGAAAGTTAAAATTGAATTTTTTATTTTGACTTATTTTTTTATAAATACCTTTCAGACAAATGTAGTCAATTTTGACATATTTGTAAGTTCCTTTGCATGGATCAGTAAACCAACCATTAGAAGATGACAAGTCGCAATAGGTTTTTCCTTCACATCTGAAATTAAAAAATATAATTTAAATTAGTGGAGGATTTTATGACAAAACTACAAAAATCATATTATTACTTACTTTTCTCTGACAATAGGCAATGTAGTGGCTGCTTTGCAGTTGGTATTCGACATCTTACCTTCTTTGGGGCAAGTTGTAAGATCAGTTCTTCCATAGAAGGCATCTTTTACTACGATTATGGTACCTTCAGGACAAGCCATGTGCTTTCTGTCATGTTCGCATATGGTTAGTGACTGCAAGACATTTGGAGGAGCTGAAAGACAAAAAGTTTTAGGTTGTTATAATTAGATTAACTTTTTTCATGCTTAATCCTGCAAAATTTCCGATTAGGTAAATTAAAATGTTTGAAATGAGATACCTTCGGTAATGTAGAGCTCGGTTGTAGTAACTGGCGTTGATGGTGGTTTTGCTAAAACATAAATATATAAAATATATTATTCATTATAGATTTATTATTTATTATAGATTTAGATTAGCTATATCAGAGACTCTGCCCAATAGGCGAGTGTGAAATTGGATTGTACCAGGCAGGGTTTATGAGAGGTCGAGGGACTGTAGATCAGATCTACTCAATAAAATCAATCCTAGAAAAATCCAGAGAGCAGAGAGTACAATATTACCACGCATCACCTCTTTCTTGATTTTCAGAAAGCCTATAACAGCATTATTAGGGAGGAGATATTCCGAAATTTGTTAGAATTGGGAACTCCCTCAAAGTTGGTTTGTTTGATAAAGATGACCATGAAGAAGGTGATGTGTGCTGTCCAAGTTGGTGGAGGACTTTCTAAGCATTTTAAATGTAAAACAGCCTTAGGCAGGGTGACAGTCTTGCCTGTTTATTGTTTAATATGGCACTGGAATGTGCTGTTAGAAGCTGAGGTGTACAGATCGGAGGCACCTTCTTTAACAAATCGGCTCAAATCCTTGGCTCCCTGGATGACTTGGACATGGGAAGAAGTTGGTATCTATGATGGAGGCATTTCTCGTTCTACAGGAAAAAGCAAAAAGAGTGGGTCTAACAATAAATGAGTCAAAACCAAATATATCAGAGCAGGCCTGAAGCATTAAATCGACAGGGTGCCTATGTGAAAATCGGTGACTTCACATTTGAGTGTGTGAACAAATTTAGTTATTTGGGTTCTTAAGTGAACTCCGACAATAATATGCAGCAAGAAATTAATATACGGTTAATGGATGCAAACAGATGCTATTTCGGGCTCCTGAAACATATCAAAAGTAGATGTTTCTTGAGGATCACTAAGGTGCAGATTTATAAGACCCTCATAAGGCCTGTTCTGACTAATGCTCTTAAGATTCGAAAGGTTGTTCCTTAGAAGAATCCTTGGTCCAGTGTTCAGCTATAGCGTTTGGTGACAAAGAACTAATTCTGAAATAGAAAGAATGTATAATGTCGTCAGATTGATAAGGATCAGAAGGCTTCGTTTGGCAGGCCATGTTGCTCGAATGAAGAATGATGAGGTCCCTAAGAAACTTTTGGAAGAAAAGATACACGGCAAGAGAAGGGTTGAAAGGGCTAGACTTTGGTGGGCCGATGGAGTGGTGGAGGATTCACAGTTTATCTTAGGAGTAAGAAACTGGAGGGCAGTTGCAACGAAACGAGAGGACTGGCAGTTGATGTTGCGAGAGGCCTTGACGCACCACTGAATTGTAGTGCCAGAAGAAGAAGAATGTAGATTTGATTAGTATAAAAGATGTTTATTTTTACTATCGTTTACAAAGCAGTGTGTTCATAGTACAACAGTTAAAATAACTATTGGTCTAGAAACCATATTCATCACCTGGTATTGAACCTAAGACATATCTTGAGTTGTAATTGTGCAAGTTTTTTTAAATTCAATAAAAATAATTTCATATTGCAGTATCGCTCATTTGGTAGATCAATGACGTACTTATCATAAAATCATAAAATTTCATAGAAGAGGCACAATAATTAGAATTATTATTATATAAGTAACATAATTTTTAAAATTTATCGTACCATTGTAAAATCTTCTATTCACTCTAATTTTAACTGTTTTATGCTATGATATCAATTTGATTGAACAATTCTTTCCGAAAATTTATTGTGATAAAATTTTTTTTTCAAAATTTTACAGTTGCATCATTCATCCAGCGGATAAGCGATGTCACTTTTATAATGAATCAGCATTCATTTTTATTCTGATAGATTGTAAATAATTTATAATATGAAATTATAAGAATAGGATTATTTATTATGAAAAAAAATCAATGGTATATGCGGAAGTCTGGGAGTGAGGGGGGGGGGGACGAAACCAGGGCTTGAAATGCAATTTTAAATTTTATTTGTCTCTCCGAAGTGTCTGATAAGAAGATGGCCTCGAGATCTCCTATTGTAAATACATTTTTAGAGTGCTACCAGTGGGTAGTTTCTCAACAAGTCGTTTCATGTTATTATATTCTTGTGGTCACATTTACTGAATGCATTTTTATTTGTAATACATCTGTAAATATTCTTAATAAAATTATAATAAAAAAGTTTTATTTTTAATCGGTTTTAGTAGGAATGGAATCTTCATTTAAGTATTTTTACTTTCAATTACGTATATATGTAATATATACGTAAGGGTAAGTATTGAGATCTTAAAAATTTTTGAATCTGAGTTTTCAACAGAAATACACGTTTTGGGGTACCCTGAGTCCAAATGACCAAGTCCCGAAAAATGGTCTGTGTGTCTTTTTGTATGTGAACACTCTAGCTTGAAAACGGAAAAGTTGAACGAAACTGATATTACGTATTTAAGATAGGTCTATGCCTTAGATGTCGCTGCAACCTTTTCCTTAAAATTGGCTAACTGGAAGTGCCACTTTATATCAATGCTGAAACACATTTTTACAATTTTCTCAAAAACGGCTTTAACAATTTTTATTAAACTCAGTGTACCATTGTATAATTATGTGGTCTTTAATATCATTTAGGTCTTATCCCTGTTGATGTCACATTACCGGGCTTAAATTCCCAATTTTCATATACATCTCCCTTTAAAGTACTTTTGATATGATTTATTTAAAAAAATTAATCATTTCACATTATTCAGAGCTATGAAAAAATTCTAAATATAAATTTTGAAAGAATTTGATAAGTTAATAAAGAAGAAAAAAAAATGCAGAAAAGCCTGTATTGCTATAGACTTGAGCGCCTAAACGAATGTTCCGATTTCAATGAAACTTTGCTAAAGTCATTTTCTCGACACCCTTTAAATTTATTTTTCTTTATAACTACAAAATACAAGTGTCATAATTTCCAAAATATAGCAGAATACTTACGTCTTTGGGTGGTTGTGGGTACTGTGGTAGTTATTGTGGTTGGTTCAGTCTCTGAAAATAATTTTTTTTTTTATAAATAACAATTAGAAAAATTATTATATTTTTAAGCATGCAATTTCCAAAATATTACAAGATATTTATTTTAAATATAACTTACGTCTCTGGGTGGTAGAGGGTACTGTTGTAGTTATTGTGGTTGGTTCAGTCTCTGAAAATAATTTTTTTTTTATAAATAACAACAATTAGAAAAATTATTATATTTTTAAGCATGCAATTTCCAAAATATTACAAGATATTTATTTTAAATATAACTTACGTCTCTGGGTGGTAGTGGGTACTGTTGTAGTTATTGTGGTTGGTTCAGTCTCTGAAAATAATTTTTTTTTTTATAAATAACAACACTTAGAAAAATTATTAAATTTTTAAGCATGCAATTTCCAAAATATTACAAGATATTTATTTTAAATATAACTTACGTCTCTGGGTGGTTGTGGGTATTGTTGTAGTTGTTACTGTGGTTGGTACCGTTTCTGAAAATAATTGTTTTTATAAATACCAGCATTTAAAATAATTATTATTTTTTTAATGGTGTATTTTTCAAAATATTAAAAAGTACTAATTTTAAATACAACTTACGTCGCTGAGTAGTAGTGGGTACTGTTGTAGTTATTGTGGTTGGTTCAGTCTCTGAAAAGAATTTTTTTTATAAATAACACCAATTAGCAAAATTATTATTTATTTAATTGTGTGGTTTCCTAAATAATGCAAGATAGTAATTTTAAATATGACTTACGCCTCTGAGTGGTAGTGGGTGCTGTTGTTGTAGTTCTTAATGTGGTTGTAGTTCTTACTGTGGTTGGTACCGTTTCTGAAAATATTTTTTTTTTTTATAAATACAAGCAATTAGAAAATTTATTATTTTTTTAATTATGCAATTTTCAAAATATTAAAAAGTACTAATTTTAAATACAACTTACGTCGCTGAGTAGTAGTGGGTACTGTTGTAGTAATTGTGGTTGGTTCAGTCTCTGAAAATAATTTTTTTTTTATAAATAACAATAATTATAAAAATTATTATTATTTTAATTGTGTGGTTTCCAAAATATTGCGAGATAGTAATTTAAAATATGACTTACGTCTCTGAGTGGTAGTGGGTGCTGTTGTTGTAGTTCTTAATGTGGTTGTAGTTCTTACTGTGGTTGGTACCGTTTCTGAAAATATTTTTTTTTTATAAATACTAGCAATTAGAAATTTTGTTTTTTTTTAATTATGCAATTTTCAAAATATTATGAATTACTAATTTTAAATATGACTTACGTCTCTGGGTGGTAGTTGGTACGGTTGTAGTTATTGTAGTTGGTTCAGTCTCTGAAAATAATTTTTTTTTTTATAAAATAACAATAATTAGAAAAATTATTATTGTTTTAATTGTGTGGTTTCCAAAATATTGCAAGATAGTAATTTTAATTATGACTTACGCCTCTGAGTGGTAGTGGGTGCTGTTGTTGTAGTTCTTACTGTGGTTGGTACCGTTTCTGAAAATATTTTTTTTTATAAATACCAGCAATTACAAAAATTACAATTTTTTAAATGGTGCATTTTCAAAAATTATAAATTACTAATTTTAAATATGACTTACGTCGCGGAGTAGTAGTGGCTACTGTTGTAGTAGTTCTTATGGTGGGAGGTTGAGTTTCTGAAAATAAAAGTTGTTAAATATTTTATTAAAACATGTAATGTGTTATAATTTTATATTGTAAATATCGAGATGACATGTAATTTAAGTTTCTTTCTGTTTTAAGAAAAAAATACCACCTAACATTTAGCTTGCTAAAAAGAAGTTTTCATCTACAGAGGATTAAAATAATTTATATATATATATATATATATATATATATATATATATATAATATATATATATATATATATATATATATATATATATATATATATATTTTAGACATTTAGACAAAAAATAAAAAATATTTTTAATACAGGTCTTCAATTTCATGAAGAATGTTTAAAATGTCCAAAAAGTCTGAATATGTGTATAATACAACTACATAAAAGTTTCTTATTGTTGATAAAAACATTTTTATTGTTTGTGTATTTTTTGAGATGAAAAAAGTATCCTAATTTATTATTATTTTCAAATAATGATAAATTAGTATGTAATTTATAGAAAATACATTTTTGTTTAGTTACATATAGTATCTAGAATCCAACTGAATAAGTAGTTAAGCCAAAAAATATTTCTGTGATAATTTTGGATAATTTCAACTTTACTATCATCATCATCCTAAATCCTTTCTGCATGTAAATTACTTAATTATTTATCAGGCTGCAAACACATTTTCTTTACATGCCCAGGGCTTATAAATGTTTATATTAGAGTTGGTGAATAAATGTTTATAATGTTTAGACAAATTCAAGAGTTACATGTGTAACATGAAAAAAGATATCTCCAACATTTTCCACAGGATGGCAATAAATATCGACTTTTTTCTTCAACATTATTGGTGAAAATACTTAAAAATGTCCTATGTGTATGTATATTGTTGATGTAAACACACCCTCAGGAAAAAAAAAATCATTTGCAAGTGGTACTTTGCTAAATTCTCAAAGATGCTAAGAAATCAACTAATATAGATACAGTACTCTCGTTTATGAAGATCATAAAATTATTTAATAAATTTAAATTGTCATGTTCTTTGGATATGTAGATGATATAACTGTCCTTTGAAACAATCAAGAGGACATTGAAAAATGCTCTAATAAGAGAATCAGAGAAAATCGGTCTTTCAAGTATATGAAGATAAAACAAAAAGATAATTAGTCAACCATATAGGACCTGCAAGAGTAGATAAATTTAAATACCTCAGTTCCACAATAACCTCAATGAATGACCAATGGTCGGAAATAAACCAGCGTATCACAAGTGCAAATGGAGCTATCTCCTCACTTTCAAAGCTACTGAAATCCCAAAAAATCTCAAATTAAAGGCGTACAATGCTATGATAAAGCCAGTTCTGATACATCGCTGCAAGACCTGGTCACTAACCAGTACCCGAGAAAGAAGTATTAAAAAATTTATGAGAGATATCCTCTGCACACTAGCAGGAATAGATTGGGATTTGAGTGCTGACACATTGCGGAGAAAGAACAATAAGAACTGCTTATGGAATCTGATCGATCAACTTCTCATGATATGAAGGCAAGGAGGTTAAGATGGACAGGGCATATAGCTAGAAGCATTGAAAGGTCAAAAACCTGGAAAAAAATAGCTCAAGATAGGTAGAGATGGAGTAGACATGTTAAGGCGGCAAAAGATCTAAAAGGTCTGTAATACCACTAAATATAAAAAAAAAATACATTATGTACATATGCTATCTCTAGGGCCTTCTAACATGGAAAAATATTGAAATAAAATTGAAAAAAAAATTGTACAACGAATTTAAGAAAAGTAGATTAACAGTGACAGATTGATTTTTAGTATTTATCATTCATTTTGATAGAAACGTATTACAGCATAAAGATTAATTCCCCCAAACTTAAATTAGTTGCTCCCCTACCACTTCAGATTCAAGCTGCCTATACATACAGTGGACCGTTTTTTGGGCAACTGCTTTAGGGTGGTGATTTAGAAGGCCCCTGTTGTTATCCAATGTGCCTAATGTCTAAGGTCACTATATATATTACTCCCATTACCTTTTCTATACATATTGGTAAAGCAGCATTGAATGTATCATTTTTCTGTATCATAATGTGTTTAATTAATTAGAACAATAGTTTCAAACTGATGTTCAATTCATAAAAAATGTTTTCTTTAATTATTAATGCTTTGTTATTGTAACTTATAAGTATTTATAATATAGTATTATTTAAAATTTTAAGTATATAGTTTTTATTGGTATTATTTTGGTTTTGAATTACTTGTTAATTATTATAAATTATCCATATTTTCATGGAGATGTTGTTTTATAAACTGATAGAAATAAATTTAGTATTTTATATTATGTCTTTAATCTTTAGTATTTTATATTATGTATTCACCGCAGAATGATGTAGTTAATTTAAATACTAAATAAGGTAATACAGTAATTTAATGAGAAATAAGATAATTTAAAATAAAAATATTTCTTAACATATTATATTGAAAAAAAAAAAAACTGAATTAAAACTTACGCCTTTCAGTCACATATTCAATCACGCCTGGAATTATTGGAAGATATGCTGTAAAAATCCAGATAAAAACAAGATTAAATAATCAGTATTAAATCTTGTAATCATTTAAACTAAACTTAAGTTATAAATAAATAAATATAGTCATCAGGCAGAATTATTTCTAATGTCTACATTTATTTTCTCAGAAATAAGGTAATTTAAAATAAAAATATGTTATAATCCTATAATATATTCTTATTAAATAGATATAAGAAATATAATCTATACCATTATTATCATCAAAAATAGGTTCATCTCACTTTAATTTGGAAATTCTTTGAGAAATTGGATGTTTATTACCTTAGTAAGATATTCTGTATTAATAATAGACATTATATATTAACTAAACTTAGGAACGTTCTCCAGACTATTAAAGACAAAAATATTACATTGGTTTGCATATGTTAAAATAATGTCTCCAGAAAGGTGAATACTTAATCAATAATAATATGTTTTATTTTAAAATTATAACACATATAATTTAGCTATTAAATTAAACATGTATCAAGAAAATTTATGGAAATTTTATTGCTAAAAGCAATATTGTTTATATAATTAAAGTTATTATATATATATATATATATATATATATATATATATATATATATATATATATATATATATATATTTTTTTTTTTTTTTTTTTTTTTTTTTTTCAACATGTTTCTAGTATGTTTTGGATGAAGTTCAGAATTTTTCTAAAAGATCCACTTTTACATTTTATTTATTTAAAAGTTTTAAAAAGTGTTTCTGGCCAACAACCACTGTGAACTGATTACACTACTTATTTTCTATTTATTTTGATATGTTAAAAAAAAAAAAAAAGCTGTGAATTAAAACTTACGCTTCTCAGTCCCATATTCAATTACACCTGGAATCACGGGGGGATATGCTGTAACGGAATAAAACAAGATAAATAAATCAGCATTATATTTATAATATTGTTTTATATAACAAAATAATATCAAGTATAAAAAAAAATGAATAAATTTCAAGCAAAAATAAAAACATTAGTTTAATTGTAGAAAGCTTTTGTAAGACTTCTAAACATAGCCCAAGTTGTTTTTGAAGTAAAAACTTCTTTAGAAGTGTTTTAAAATTTTTTATAGGGAGTGAATTAGATTGGGCCATCATATCTCCAATGTGTAACGCTCAGGCTAAGTCGGCTTGAGTCGACTAATTGAATTGTTTTTGAATATGAATTAAAATATCTGAAAAACTAAAATTGGATCTTCAATCCGACCGATTCCTAAGATGCCATTATAAAACTCCAAGATGATATTAATAGAATAAGTGCTTGGGCAAGCGCTGCTGAGCTCCCCTGAAAGATTACGACTGGTTTCCATAAGTAACATGAGCTTAATATAATACGGACTCCGACAATATTATTTACATATGCGGTTTTCATAAATGCTGTCGTTAATATTATTTAATATTTAATTTAATTATAGAATTCAGCGATAAAAAAAAATTAAGATAAATACCTACAATTAAATATAAATAAATTTTTACTTTCACTTCCCCTTTGTCTGAAAATACTCATTTCTGCTAAGAAGATTGTAAGTGAAAGTCGTGTGATGCACGCACCAGATTTTTTTTTTAAGTACTACTAAATGATAAACCACGTAATGTTCCACAAATGATGATATAAGAATATCGTATATAATAATATATAAATATATATTATATAAGATTATATAATATAAGATATAAGAATATATAAAACTACGATTCCCGGTCGCTGGATATTTTATACATTTTTACATATATACATACATTTTTACATGCTTATCCATTTTTGATTCCTCGCTACAGAAGGTGGGGAAGCTTTCTATTCGTGAAGAGGCTAACAAATTTTTTTTTTGGGCTGATTCAAATATTTTAACTTTGACATTTTAGACATTAATCAACATATTTGGTTTCGTGTCTGCCTGTAGTAAAATCTATGTGAAGCACATACCACCAATTATAATCCAATATTCATGAAATTGTTAGCGATTGTATTCGGATTTATTTTTTATCTTTTTTAATCTTTGCTTAGCATTTAGAATGTTCTAGTAGATGTATAGTTTTCGCTATTCCATGGGATATCTGTATGAAGGTCAAAACGTCACATCGCCTGCAACTAATACTCCAATTTTGATATTTTTATTTTATTTTTTGTATGGAATATCATTATATAAATAGGCAAGATAAAGAAGTTTAGTACACCCTTTTCCTCAGGCCATCCACCGATTTACTTTTTTTGTTTAGTAGCTATCTATTTTACTTATATTTAGGTTATTTTATTTTTTTATTGTACATAGTTTTTATTTATTATTATTTAGTTATTATTTTACTTTTGTTAATTTTATTTTATTTTTTTGTATATACGGTGTGAATGTGTTCATTTATCAATATAATTATTGTCCCCGTGACAGAATATTAATAAATAAAAATATTAAATAAAAAAAAAAAGTAGCTATCTATAAAAAAGTTTTAGTTTTATCAATAAAACAATTTAGAAACAGTGTTTATAAATAAAAATGCCAATGTTCAGTTGTTCAAAACCCCAAATCTTCGAAAATTCTTGACTGATAGCTTTCGAATTTTGATACATTGTAACCAACTTCAGAACTGTTTTTATATACAGTTTAATACCATCTTTTCGAAATGGTAAATGAAATATCTTCAATAAAAATCATTATCATTTGGTTTTCGACACTATTTATCCATTTTCTTCTCTCTAACATGGTGTCGCGTTAAGATACAGTTTTTAATTATAGGCTGTTATAGAGAGGATAAAATGTTGAATAATTTCCTCGCTTACAGTATACAGGCCTGATTTTTAGTTGTTGAGATATTTTAATTCATATGTAAAATATTTTAATTAGTCGACTCTAGCCGAATTTATCCGAGCGTTAACACTTCGGAAATCTGACGGATCAATCTAATTTGATCTCCACAAAAAGTTAAAACGCGCCTAGAGAAGTTTTCAATTAAAAAAAAATCATCGAAATCTAAAACATGTCCGATAAGATATTTTTTTCGGTTTATATTTTTAGAAGAGTTCTATTATGACAAATTTACATCTGGCATTTTGCTATCGTATGAGTATAATGTTGAAATGAAAGATTTGTACCTACCAAGGAAGAAAGTGGGTTCACATTTTTTAGATGGAACGATGGATTCAGTTTATTAAAGTACCCAAATGGTACTGCACTGGTCTGAATTTTAAGTACATATAAAAGTGTATGTATGAATATATAAGTGTAAAAAAAAAAAGTTGGAAACCTTAAATGTTTAACTATGATTATCGTCGAATTTCAACCACTGGCCGAAAACCACTCTTTATTAAATAAACACAATCATATATATATATATATATATATATATATATATATATATATATATATATATATATATATATATATATATATATATATATATATACATGATATTATCACATACATAAATAACTAAGAAATTGTACATTAAAAGTTATTCGTACTTAAAATTTTATGTTATACCAATTTATTTTAGTCATATTTAAATATATATATATATATATATATATATATATATATATATATATATATACAATTATAAATATAAAGAGCTTCGAGGCAATAAGTTAGAGAGGTTTTATTAAAATCGTTACGCCACTTTTTACGCTACAGTCCAGATCTGTGCAAAACGTAAAAGTTTTTAGAAAAACAAATAATAAACGTATTTTGTGTTTAAATTACAAAGAAAAAATCAAAATACGATCGGGAGCCTACACTATTTAGAAATTTATTTTCTGGTTTTAAAATACAAAATGAAATAAATTTTTGTATTTTAATATCTAGGAAATAAAATACGAAGACTTTGTTTATATTTTGTATTTTAAAAAGAAAATAGCAGCATATGTTTTTGATATCTGAAAAAAACTAGACTTTTTTCGATAATCATACAATAAGATCCTTTATGTACATAACTAATTTTTATATCTCTGTTCGGAAGTTGTTTTATTACAACCTCGTTACAAAACCATTTTTATCAAATTATTAACTGTGTGTAGTAACTGTTTTTATTCAATAAGAAGGAATATCTCAAAATCTGTTCAATATAATTAGATTACGAGTAGATACAATTTTTTTGAGAAAACAGTGATTAAATTTAGTAAGATCAATGATACGACCACTGTACTGTTGGAGTTGCAGTATATACCCCATACCCGTGCAGCATATATTTGTTATCCCGATTCGTGGAAAAATTCCGTTATTAGACTTCCTGAAAGTCCTTTTTATCATTGAACTTAGTAAATTTAATAACTGTTTTCTCAATTTTGTCTACTTTACGATGGTGTACTTAGAATTTAACTATCGTGAAAGGTATTTGAGTAATTCCTTCTTATTCAATAAAAACGTGACGACCTTAAGACAACTTTTTTTTCTTCCCTTCCTTGCCTTTTAGGCTGCACGTGTTTTTTTCTCGGGCCGGAGTGAGGGCGGGGGAATTATACTGAGTTAAATATCCCACCGGTCACCAGGATTTGATAACTGGTAATAATCCTGGATATATGATAAAAGACCTAGATAGGATCAGTGCCTGGGCAAGCTTGAATAATTTAAACTTAAACGCATCAAAAACTCAGGCAATTCTTATAGGTTCCAACTCCCTCCTTAGATCCATCTCCACCCTTCCTTCCTTGATTATTAATGACCAACCAATCTCCTTCTCCCCCTCTGTAAAAAACTTAGGAATTACCATTGATCAAAACCTATCATGGAAACCCCATATTGCTCATATCTCCAGAAGTTCAATTGGGACACTTAAACTATTTCATCGTTCTCGCCAGCATCTCCTACAACCTATCCGCAAGCTCCTCGTTTCCTCATTGATTTTCCCCTACTTTGACTATTGCTGTGTGGTATACGGTGGCCTCTCGTTGGAGCTTGAGGACAGACTGAAGAGAATCATGAACTGTTTTCTAAGATTCGTCTTCGCACTTCGAGATGGTCTCATGTGTCCCACCTATAGGCCGAGTCAAAGTGGCTCTTCCCCTCTTCCCGCCGCCTTTACTTCCTTGGAAATTTCTTATATCAAACGATCAACTCCCAGCACCCTTCCTATATCTACTCTCTTCTCCAGCCTAAACATTTAATCCACTCAATAAAAACGAGATCCCGTGATTCTGACCTCTATATTCCATTCCACAGGACAAAAACCTATGAACGTTCCTTCTTAGCCCGCTCCGTCACCTACTGGAATTCTTTGCCACATAACATCCGTCATGCCTCTTCACTGTCAACTTTCAAATACCTCCTTTTCCAATATCTCCTCACATCCCAAACAGAGGATTCACAACCATAAATTTCATTTTATGAATGAATTTGTGAGAAGTAAATGGTGTTGCCTACTGTTTAAGTTTTAACATAAAACAGCAATGATCTTTGACTATTATTATTACTATTTTTTTTTTTCTCTTCGCCTCAGGTTGTGATTTTTCTTTCGGGTATATATGTTTATATTTTATACTTTTTGTCTCTCTGTGTATCAATATGAGTATGTAAGTATACATAGTTTCTTTTTTTTTCGTTATAATAGTAATAATAATAATAATAATACTTTATTTATTCTGGGACGAGTCCCTTTAGAATAATACAGGAAGACAGAAATGAGGGTTAAGGAGCCTCAGAGATATATAAATAAAAATACAGAGTAATTGAACAGTCTTGGTTAAAAAAAATAATATATATATATATATACACATATACATATAAGTTGCTTTCCAATTTTGATCAGTTGATAATAAAAGAAAAAAAAATAGATAAACAAAAATTGGAGTACAAATAATGAAGAACGAACTAATAATTTATGTACATATTTTCAGTAGTATCTATTTACGATTTTATGGGGACTGGATGGATAAGAAATGATTGAACAGGCGGGATTTAAAGGTAGGAAGGGTATTAGATTGACAGATATGGGAAGGGATGGAGTTCCATAGAGATGAGGATCGGATAATGAACGATTTGTCGAAAGCAGCGGTTCGGTGGGCCTTTATGTATAAATCAGAAGACCGGGAACGAGTATTGCGGGAACGAACAGAGGATTTGAATTGAAAGAGCTCGGAGATGTATGAGGGACGGTGGGATTGGATGACTTGAAAGAAGGAGGATGCCAGGAAATACTTACGACGGTAGGAAGGATAAAGCCAATTTAACTCCGCGTAAACATGGGAAACAGAGGCGTCCCTTGGGATCCCGAAGATGAATCGTACAAAGCAATTTCATTATACCACAAGTAATCCTGAGATTTTATTTTATCTTAGTGTTTGCATATTATTATGCATATTATTCTCTCCCCTTATCTTAAGAAAACCATAAACTTAGTCTTAACTCCTTTTCCGTTCGAAATCGGCCCATACATTAAATTTTTTTTCTTGTTGAAAACTTTATCTAGAATCTCCCCATAGAGTTTTGCTATTATGAACTGAGATACCCTATATATTAATGAATTATCTTAACATTTTAATTTTTTTTTTTTTTCATAGCCCCTTTTTACTTATTTTTGTCTTTAATCCTTGGATTGTCTTAATAATACACCTTTTACTGCTTAAAAACATTGTAAGGTTTATTTTTAGATTTTTGTCGTTTCTTAAGTATTTCGTTCTTCATCTGTAATATGAAGGTGATGGGGCTCACCTCAGGCTTGAGTTGACCTTATCCTCTAGAGCTTATAACTAAATTAAAACATCGATATCATGTGATTTGTTGCCAACGTTTTGGAATTTTGGCTGGTAACAAATTGTTAAAAAGAGGGTTTGCCAATTGTTGGGATTTTTCGAAAAATGATTTTTATTCGTTTTGCGAAAAATTCTTTAATTTCTCATCATCATTGTTACGTTATGTATTATCTTCTTAAGGTTGTTTTATCGAGATCGTGCGTCATATTTGAAATATGAACATCGTACAAAAATATGTATAAGATTGAATATACAAAAATAAAAAAACATATACTTAGTTACCTATATTGGAGCCTTTTGATGATTTTCCATCCTTTCCCTTCTTCTGACCTTTCTTGCTATCTTTGTTCTTCTTATCCTTCTTGTCCTTCTTCTTCTTATTCTTCTCTTCGGAGCTGCTGGAACTCGAAGAGTCAGCGAGGGCGACCGAAAGGAGAACGAGGCAAACCAACAGGACAGCGATCCTCATGATTACTCGCTCAAGACTAAAGAAGGAGGAAGGATCCAGGATTCTTAAATACAGTCAGCAAGCTTCATAATAATCGAACACTTGTGATAATATTGAAACTGGTGTTAACGTGGGATCTTTAAACAAGTAATGAATAATTTAATCTTGCATTGTTTTAAAGTAATTAGTTCTAAGAATTAATTTGATTATGCATATTTTTCAAAGTCGATCTGAAATTTTAGGTGGACGTGAGGTCCAGAAAAAGTTCCTACTCACAAAAATATATTTATAGAGGTATTTTTATTTTCATTTACCTATATATGAAATATATAGTAAGAGAAAGTATTGCGATCTTAAACGAAATCGATGGAAATACACATTGTGAGGTCCAGATGATCAAGTCTTGAAAAATGTTCTGTGTATGTATGTGATCAGCCTAGCTCAATAACTAGAAGTCGTGCTATACTGAAATTGAGTATTTAAGTTTTTGTTTATTTGCCTGAGATATTACCGTAAGTTTTTCGTCAAAATCGGCTTACCTAAAGTGCCCCTTTAAATAATCAAATTTAGACATTTTTCTAAAACGATATTGATTAAATTCATTATATCAGTGTTTTATTAAATCTAACTTGGCTAAAGACCTAATTTTCTAAATTACTTCCTCTAAAGTAGTATTAATTTTTTACTTTCACTTACCAATATAAAGTGAGGGTAAATATAGAGATCGTGAAAATTTTTGAATCTGAGTTTTCAGTTTTAAGGTCCCTTGAGTCCAAATAATCAAGTCTCACAAAATTGTTTGTATGTGTGTACTTTATATAATCGAGTAAACACAATTTTACGATATTCTCTAAAACGATTTGAAATAAACTAAGTATATCAGTATATTATTAAGCACTTTTTAATGTAATGTGGGTTTTATTCCCATTGATGTTCTTTACCAGGGCTTAAATGGCTAATTTTCAATTATTAGCTTCCTGTAAAGTACCTTTAATTTTTTATATTTGAAATAACTAACTATTTTACATTAATATTTGATACAAAAAATACGTAGATATAAAATATGAAAGAACTTGATGATTAACTAAAGGTGAAATAACGGATTATATATCGTAACGGATTATAGTTGTAATGGAAGAACCAAAGATTTATTGTATTGAAAGATTTGTGAGAAATATCCTCCGTTCATTAACAGGAATGGATTGGGATTAGAGTGTTAACACATTGCAGAGAAAGACCAATAAAGAACTGCTAAAAGAAACTGGTCAGTCAATATATAATAAGGAGGTTCAGATGGACGGGATGTTGCTCGAAGAAATCCATCAGGACGCCTCTACAAGACAATGAATGCCAGAGTAGTAGGCAAGAGACCAGGTGGGAGAACAAAAACCAGATGGATAGATAGGATAAACTAAGATACGGCTGAGCTTCATGCAGCAAACAGGAAAGCAGTCGCCCAAGATAGGCAGAGGTGGAGAAGGATGGTTCAGGCGGCCAAAGATCTACAAGGTCTGTACAGCCTACCGAAAAAAAAAATTATATATAAGAATTATATAAGATTATATATATAGTAGTGGACCGGAGCCCCAACAGCCTTTCTCTATTATCGTCTATTAAGAACGTTCCATTAAGCTGCAATCTAAGATAAGGAGTCCTTCAAATTAAAGAAAAGACAGCAACAGAATTTAAGAACTCAGTCTCAAATTACAAAATAATCTATATTTCTGATTTAAAAAAGAATCACTCAATTATTATTATTATTGTTAATTGTAAAAAATTCTTCAAAAATAAATCATCTGATGATTTTTAAAAATTCCAAATATAAATTTTGATCAAATTTGATTTTATTTTTTTGTAAAATAAGAAACAAAAAATTACTGATTCTATCAAATGAATTCAAATGTACATTGAATTTGAAAACCAAAATGCGTTTCAAGTAAAGTAGACCAAATACATTTTTGTCACTAAAAAACTTTTGAGATTATTTTTAGTGTTCTTTAAAACTCTTAAATATGAAGTTCTATTCAACTAAAAAGTTAAATATAAAATAAAAAATCCAGTATCCTTAGATGGACTCATATAAAACTCCTCAAAGAAGAGTGCCTCAAAAGAGTTGCTCTACTTAAATGCCTTTCTCACACGATTTGGGGAGTAGATAGAAAAAGCCTATTGAATATATACTATGCAAGTATTAGAAGCAAATTAGACTTCGGTTCAAGCGTTCACGGCTCTGCTTCAAGCAAAACTTTAAGAATTTTGGATGTGGTACACAACTCTGCATTAAGAATTTGTACAGGGTCATTGCCAACCTCCCCTGTGAAAAGTCTTTATGCAGAAGCTGGTGAACCTCCTCTAACCTTCAGAAGATTGTACATGACAACGAAGTATGGTCTCAAAATCAAAACTAACCCAAGACACATACTAAATAAGGTATTATTCTGTAATGAGGCAACAAGTAACATGAGGGAGGAAAAACTTTATAGAAACACTTCTTGATCATTTTTCGGACCTAAACATTGAAAATGCTCTGGATGTGCCGGATATAATAATACCCCGATGGACCAACGTCAAACCAACTATAGAAACCTCAATTGCCAGACATAAAAAGGATATGGCACTTCCAGTTGAAGTTAAAAAATTATTTTTAGAAAATTTGGAAAAATATAAGGAGTGTCATATCTTGTAAACGGATTCCTCAAAGTAGATAAGGGAGTAGCATGTTCCGTTATAAATTCTAATACTCAAACTTCCGGAGGCTTGTTCAGTGTTTATTGGTGAAATTATAGCTATTAGAGAAGCTCTTAAACACATAGAGACAAGTGAAACTACCAATTGGGCAGTGGTGACAGACTCTATGAGTTCATTACTAGCCATTGAACATACCAGGCTCAAAACCACTCTCGCAAAAGATGTAAGAAATGTTTGGTGGGTACGAAGGGAGAAGGGCAAAGAAGTAGTGTTCATTCTAATCATTGTTCTTTCAATTTTCGTATCAACTAAATTCTCGAAAAAATTCAGGAAAAAAGGTTATAAAGAAAAGAAAAATGTTATGGGGCCTAACTCCCTAAGTATATATTATACTGTAAAATTTATAATAAAACTTTGAAAGGTAATTAAATTACCAACAAACCAAAAAAAAAAAAGATCATCGGCATCGAACCAGTATTAGCGATGATACAGCTTATTCTATTTTTTACACATGTTTTAACTTTTTACTTTCCTACCTATACTGGGTAAGGAAAGTATTGCAATCGGGTCAAATTTCCGCCATGCGGTTTTAGACGGTTCTATACGTTTCAACGCTCCCTAAGTCCGAAAAATACGCCGTTTATCCTGTCGTTTGAAATTTATTGAAATTCCCTACAAAGCCATATAAAAATCGTGGACAACTATTAACGAAGTTACAGCTATTCAATTTCCAATATGAGATTACGGTTTCATATCATTGTACCAGAAAGAGGTGAATGAGAGAATAAAGATGACTAAGTAACAGTAAGAAAATCTGTTGCCCACATCACACAATCTTCACTATTTCCTCTACTTTTAACAGAAATTATTGTTTGACAATACTAAGCTATGGCAAAAAGTTTTTGATCAGCAAAATTAGGAAGTATTGAAATTTTTACACTGACCTACCTTAAGCCGGTTTACATTGCTTTAGTTTATCAAATAAATCGTACTCACATCTTATGTTTGATCAATTTTCAGGAAAATGTATCTAGTTCAGTTCTTTTTTGTTTCTTCCAGAACATATGTAAAGATATAAAAACTTTTCTGAAATAGGTAGGAAAGTCGTGTGAGTGGACACACCAGATATTTTTTCTTACACAGATATTCTTTATAAGAAATAAATAGAAAAACTCAACGTTTTTATTTTATATCTCCAGTACGACTTTTTTTTACAGTTGGTTTGTGCTATTTCGTTTATAGGACCCTAAATCTCTTCTAGGTTTTGTGTGGGTAGCTGACATGATGTTAAAGATGTAATATAAGTTTTGCTATTTTTGAAAAAAATCCAAGTTGAAAACTTAAGAGCAAAACATTTTTATCTTTCAATTGCTATAAAAACATCATATTTAAGGGTTCTTCAAGGTGAGAAAAACGGATATAAACTTTGGTTATCCCTTAAAAATTATTTATCAGGATCACAATGTGTAAACTGTGTACATATGTTCATGTACTAAGTTTCTATACATTCTTATTTTCGAATGAAATTTGCCCTGCTTACCAGATTTTGTACATGTAATCTTACTCCATATAAACGTCCGGCTTACCAAAAAAAATTATTTGGCATATTAGCTATAGTGTGACTACACATTTGAAATAATGAGCAGTCAGACGCCCTCATGCCGAAAGTAAGTAACATTTTTACTTTCCTACCTATACTAGGTAAGGAAAGTATTGCGATCGGGTCAAATTTTCGATATGCGGTTTTCGACGGCTCTATACGTTTCGGAGCCGAAAAACAGCTCTGAGTTCGAAAAACACATTTTTAGCCACTGATTTGTATGTCTATCAGTGCCAAGATTTTCTCGGAAACTACTGAACCGATTTTGTTGCTTCTTTTTTTATTTTGTACGATTTCGACTACTGATGCTTGATGCTGATAATTTGGTTAGCGATTCCAGGATTTAATTTGGGGGGAGGGCTTCAGCTCGAAGAATTTTTTTTCATATATATAACGATAATTGAAAAAAAAAAGAAACTAACTACCCATATGACATGGTGTCTTAGTGATTCTTGAAGTCCTATTAAATGTAATTACATGAACAATAAAATTTTAAGAGATAGTTTTTAATATTTTTTTCTATAAAATATATTTATATTTTACCATTTTTGGGGCGGGAGGGGAGCTATCGGGCTGAAGCCCCGGGCTGATATCTAACCCCTAACCACCCCTAAATCCGCCTGTGCTCCATGGGCAATAGCTACTGCGTAATAAATTAAAAACATGTTTTTCTGTAGACAGTAACGCGAAAAAGGCTCTAATGATTATAATGAAACTTTCCTGTAATGTTCTAATAATTGTCCCTTCAATTTTCGTACATGGACTAAATACCCGAAAAAATTCAGGAAAAAAAGTTAATCAA